TTACTAGCAGTAGCAAAAAATAATTAATTACACACCAAATCAACAAAAAATCTAAACTAATAAATATTATAAAAACTTAAAACTTATATTTTTTACCTTTATTACGTCATCGTGTGTTAGGTTTATTTCGTTACGGAATTTCTTGATTCGGGCGCCACGCTCAAAGACCGCGATAAAATCTATGCATTAGCTTAAAAAGTATTTCAAGGCACTGACAAAAAGTAGACCTTTTTGATCAATTCATGCAACAAACAATCAAAAAATTGTATAATGTTGTTGAATATTATAGACCATTTTTTTATATAATTTTGTTTTTGATTGTTGCAGCTTCCGTAATTGTCAGTCTCAACACGACACAGTTTAATATTTGTGTTACTAAAAATAACTTATTTCTAAACTTCTTCACGTAAAAATATAAGCAAGCTATTTTAAGTATGCTTATACTAATATGATTGAGTAATTATAATAACTGTAATATTCTTGATTTAACAAATTATTCAAATTCCTCAACTGTTTATTAATGCAGAATATGCCTCTTCGTTGCAAATACATTTTTTTTCAATAATTGCAGGTATAAATTTTGACCTTTATTAACCATTATTTTTAAATCTTTACTAATGTAATAACATATAATTCTCACTTCAAAACAACAATATATATCTTAAAAACGAATTAAATTAACTAATTACAGATATTGGAAAGATACAATGCAATTATATCTCGCTCAAATGGACAGATTGGCAGCGAAGGGAGAGCTTGAGAAAACAATTTGTAAGTAATTATTTGTATTCATACATGCACGAAAGTGAAGAAAGTTTTTTTTGTTGGTATGGGAGCGTTCAAGTATTACGTTACGAATTTGGGGGGGGTCCTTTTGTAAAACGTTACGATGCGGGGCGGGGATTGAATTACGCGTTATTGTTGATATTATTTTCGACTTCCCAGTATTTTACACCACATAATGGTCACTAGGTGGTCACGAAACGTTTTATTATACTTGGGTACAGAGAAACGTTACGGCGCGTTACATTTGTCAATAATATCCAAAAATTGCGTGACATAATACTTGAACGCTGTGACTTGCGCTTGAATCCTGTGAACTATTTTAATGTTGAAATTTGATCTATTACGTATATTATTTAATAACTCTTTTCTTTTACATTTAATTTATATTTAACGGTAATAGAAAAAAATGGCGTATTTTATAAAAGTTACAATAACTTAAACGTACATTGGTAATGCTAAGTTTTCATGTTAGCGGTGTTTAAACAGCCCCATGCCTTCGTCTTGTCGTGCTCTCGTGATACTCCGGTCGGGTCAGCCGTCACATTTTAGTATGTGAGTTAGGGAAATTAGTGTACTTTTGTCTTATACTTCTTTAGGCACGTTATGAAAAATTGATGAGAGTGAAATTTTACGATGCGCGCGCACCGTGACACAAAATTAACAGAACGAAGTTAGTGGCGCATGTTGGCACGCACGCCGCCTCTGTTCACTGTATATTTATAATATTTATCCACATGCTTTGAGTTTCTACATTTAAAACACGTGTTCTCATTTTCTTTTCATTATACAAGTGCGAATTTTATATGTGCGTCTGAATTATAATCAGAATTGATTTAAATTGAATATTTAAATCAATACAAATTAATATTAGAAAATAATAAATATTTATTTATTTAATTTTTCAAATGTAAACTGAACTTTATTGACTATAATGACTCCTTTTCCAGTCTTTGATTATTTAATTGTAATTAATTATTTGCATGCAATCAAAAATTATTTTTAATAATGCCAAAGAAGTATAACTTCTTACGCGCGTACATAAGTACCTTTTTTTTAAATATTAGCGTTTTTAATTTCAGTGCCAGAATCGTACGGTGGAGTTGTATATAGAAAGGCTGCGGTTTTATTGAGTCTTCACGATATCAAAGGAGCTGTTAATGCACTGGTTGAAGGGCGGCTCTTTTTAGAGGCTTATGTACTGGCTAAGACAAGGTAATATTATAAGCTTTTATTCGGTTAAATCAAAATTAAAAATCAAGACTTCATTGACAGTTGTGAAGTTGCCATTTGCAAAATAACATAATCGCTTTGTTTTATATAAAGTGTCGTCAAAATATTTTTTTAAATTAGATTTTATTATTTGATTGTTTCAGACACATGGATAGCATAGGAGAGGAGACCCTCCATAAATGGGCCGCGTTCTGCCAAGACAATGGCAGTTTCTCTGTTTCTGCTTTTTGGTAAATATTTATTTAGTACGCGAAATTTTTAGAGAATTTCTATCTGAAACTGAAGCAAAATTTGACAGAGAAAAAAACGGAAAGAATTTGTTTTTATGAATTTGTAAATTTATATTTTATTTTTGTTTTCAGCCAAATAATTCTCGGTGACGCGTATCAAGCCTCCGTCTTATTATCAAAAATAAACGATGAAGGGTCTTTAATGTTGTCCTCTGATTTAGCCAAATTGGCTGGACAGGAGACATTCGCGGTACATGTGGATGACAAACTACAAAAAATACATTCTAATGAAACGCCTAGTGAAAATCTTAAATCTTTGCCCTCAAGAACTGAACTAGCGGTTAAAGAAACAAATGGTGTAGAGACAAATGATATTTAGAGTCACATGTGTAGGGTAGGGTTACCCTGTAAGTTAGTGATTCCTATATCTGTAGGTTTTTGAAGTGAAACTTCTTTATCGACGTATGGGACAAATTTTGAAGCAAATCGTCACATTTTGCGGTTACGCGCCATCTTTTTCTTGTCCCTACCACGGTTGATCCGAAAAGATTCGAAGCCATTAATAACAAAAATATAAAATAACGATAGCAATGATAGTAATAATTCTATTGCAATTCATGAAATTCAGTAATAATCTTAGTAGTAATAAGGTAAAATGAAATAATTGTATTTGTATTCATGTCTATGATAATAAAAGCCTTTTGTTAAACTTTATCTAATTTAACTTTATTTAACCAATTTCTGTAAAGTTGCATATAGTAGATCATTTTTCGAAAAATAAGGTCATAAAGAAGTTTCACTACTTACGTGTGTACACCTAGTACACGCACACATTTTTTTCTATATTATTATAATTAATTGCAGTGAAATTGGAATTAATTAAATATTGGTAAGTGTCAATTCAAGCTAATCAAATCACTAAGTACTTGATCTTACAGTGTAGCTCTGCGGATATGCATGGCTGTGATCCTTAATTGTGATATTGTACACGAAGCAAAAAGTCTTGTCCATGTTTATTGTATTAGAAAATGTTTTAGATAATTTCTATCTTTAAACGTGTTTCATTTGATATCTTACTACACTAATCTTAAACAATATTCTAAGATTTAGATTTTGTTTTCACGCCTCGTTACTGTTTTTATATTAATGTTAAGTTTTAGTGATAATAAAAACTCAGTATATGTAACTGTTTTTATTATTAACCAATTAACATAATTTCAAGATTATACATAAATGCGTTGTCGGTTAACGTATGGGGTTAGCTTCCTGACGCCTAATGTTCGTGTAATATTTTTTGAACTTGACTCATACCAATGCCTAGGCTTGCCCGTATCTGCTGATAGGTCACTCTCTTATCTTCCTCTATCAAGCGTCGCACAGCACTGAGCTTATCTTCAGTAGTCGCTGTTAAAGGACGTCCCTCACGCGGATCGTTATTGAGATTGCTACGTCCACGCTTAAACTCGTTAACTATTTCAAATTTGTCGGTCTGTTTATGTGTCGCCACGTTACATGGTCGTAACTTGGTCATGTATCGTATTCTTTCAGAACACACATAATCAGGAAATAAATATATATAATTTGTCTGGAAGATGCTTTAAAAATAATATAGAAACCTGCTTGCTACCTTTTGTTAAATCTCATTTATACTGAACTCCTAGTGGACAATGCATAACAGCAAAGACAAAGTACTTTAAGTGTCTTTGAGAACAGTAAACACGCATTCAGACGTAACTTTTAAAGCAAAAAAAAATTCTTTTGAATTAGTCTTTTTATAAACTTTTTGCAAAATAAACTGGCACCTAAAGAAAATTATGTACTAAGGTAGTATTTTTAGATGTTTTGATATCCGTATGTGTGTCCAAGCATTGTTCTAGCATCATTTTAGTATTTGTTATCGTACTAGGTCTGATGTTAATAAAATACGAATTATTTTCATTCATTTATTAATTTCAGGCACCATTTTATAATTATCTCGATAATATACAATATATTTGTCAATTATATTTGGTTAATTTGTGCTTTAATTGTAACGTCACATTAAGTACAATAATACTGTTAAACAAATGGTGAAAATATAATCTAAAATCACACATAAATGCCTTCGGAATGCACCTTTAGACAGTCTTACACATTATTAAGGCAAAGTTATTGAAAAAATCAAATTGCAAAAAAAAGACCAGCTTATTTTAAACCAAGCTTTTAAATTACTAGGAAATATTCGTTCCTCCTAAATATATTTTAATCACATTCAGAAAAATTATTGACTCTACCGATCACTCACCAGTTAGTTATTTTACTAAATCTTTGACAAAACATGTCTAATTTGATATAAAAAAAATGGTTTCTCACTAATTTTTTAGTATTTATTAAAGTACTGTTTTGAAAGCGTTTATATATATGGTTTCTTTAAATCAAAGCAAGAAAATGTATTAGAAACCATAAATAATTTAGTAACATATTGGTATACTGCTGTTTATGGCGTATACTATTATTATTATATTCTTTAGTTACGAACTCTGATTACGTATTAGAGAGTTCCCTTTAGGAGAGGTGTTATATTCAGATTGAACTGTACTTATTTAGCTAGAAAACTAATAAAATCAATAAATCAAAATAAAATTCCCCTTTCAAACAAATAAATCATTTTGCATTATTTATGGAAATTCACGAATCAATGTATGTAAATATAACAATGCTTGAATCAAGGTTATGAGGGTAATATTTCAGACAGAAATAAGCCCAAATTGTCATTTATGTATTAATCTCGTCAGCGGGATCTTCATTTTCGCGATTAGTGTTCTGATATTTCATTTTTTGATAAATTTTCGTGAGTTTGGCGTTCAAAGTCTTGAGTTTTTGATTTTCTTTGATCACGTCCGAAAACTGTTGTTGCTGCAAAAAAACAGATTCAGTATATACTTAACGCCGAATTATGTGTTTGTACGTAAATATACGTATATGTGTGCGTGGCGAATTTGGGAACTAACATATCAAGATGATTGATTACTATCAAACTATAGTGACGACTCGGGAGTTGTGAATGAAACAAAAATGGCAATAATTGCCACAACCTCAAATCCTTCGACGGTTCTTTTCCGCAGTTTTTAAATCTCTAAAAATGCTAAACTACTTTCTTTTATTGCGTTAAAATTTAATTTATTTCAACAATTATCAACTATAGCCATCAAAAAGTAACTAAACAGTTAAGTCTTCGTATGTTTGTGTTTTGTAAATCGTGTGATAATTTAAATTAAAAACTCTTATTATTAATTAATAGGGTTAATCTTGATCAAATCCTTAAGCTATATTTGAATTTTATCTTTTTAAAAGATATTAAACCCCTTAGAAATAATTGAAATTGTTCAAATAATTATTCATTCCCGTAAACTTACTTAAAGACTATTATCTGTAGTACTAATTTTTGTATCTTTATTAATCAATGAACTATGTCTTTATTCCAAATTTTACGATAAGTAAAAACGGTGACGGAAAACATCGTGAGGAATCCGGCCTTAGACCCAAAAAGTCGACGGCGTGTGTCAGGCTCAGGAGGTTGATCACCTACTTGTCTATTAGATTGACAAATGATCATGAAACAGATACAGAAATTTGAGGCCCAGACCTAAAAAGGTCTGATTGATTTATTTTATTTTAAGAGATTTTTAATGTAATAGGAGGCAAACGGGCATGAGGCTCATCTGATGTTGTGACACTCACATTGCCAGAAGGGTCGCAAGTGCAAATAGATACAAAAAAATACTCCACTGGGGATACAGATCACAAAATTATTTATATTTACCTGTACGATAGAGCTGCCAGTGGACACATAAAGCGGTGTTGAAGCCGTCATGGCGGCCAACTGCTGTTCCAATGTCACCTTTTGTTGTGTGAGCTTCTCTACCGTCTGTAAATAAAAAGTTTTGTTTTTATTAAGCTATTGCATACATTTTAACGCGGGCTTTGAGCGCGGCGACCGAATCAACAAATTCCGTAACGAAAATAAAAACCTAACACACGATGACACGGGCCAGTACGAGCGAGGCAGAACTCATACTGCGTCTCACATCGGTCTGGCGTGATGGTGACGTAACACAGGTGCGTTAGTCTGAGTCTGGTAGATTTTAAAAAAATGCTATGCAATAGCTTTACCGCGGCAGTCCCCTAGCGCCACACGTTATTAACATGACTCCTGCTTTATATAGTACCAGCTGTTCCCCTAAGTTTCAGACCCGTGTGGTAATCGACCATTGTTTTAAAACTATGATATCTATTGTAGTGAATGTCGTATTTATTTATTATCATTTTTTTCGGAAACACTTTATTAAAAAAAAGTGCGTTCGTACAAAGTACACATGTCAGAAGTGAAACTTCTTTGTAGATTAATTATTACTAAGGTAACAGCCCCAATAGATGATCATGCACCCGTATATGATCACTCCATGTATTTGTGTATCTTAATTCACACTGTATACGGCACAAGACGTTATGCGACAGAATTGCCATCTAAAGTTCTAATATGTAACTACTAAACGAATACATCAACCAATAGCATGTATTCTTTCTCGATCCCTTACTCTCTCTCTCAATCTTTCTCACTACAGCTCTCTCCCACCTCTCGCTCCATGCGTGCTGCGACGTTCGCTCTATCTCACTCTCTCTCTCGATCTTTCTCACTTGCTTGCTCCCTACTCTCGCTCGATGGCTATTAGCTTCATGCTACGTTCGCCCTTTCTCTCTCTCTCTTCTTTTCTTCGACAAAACCGCTGCACTTCTTCCTGTCGCTAATATTATTATTATTGCATTTCATCCGTAAAAATGTTACTCTCATGCGCCTAAAGAAGTTTCACTTCAATTAAATAAATGTTTTGCAACATTTGCCATTCATGCTCCGCTTCTAGTAGTCTGGTACTTTCTGAGCTTCAAGCTCGATAATATGTACCAATTTCTACTTACCAATTTAAGTCGTTTAAATTCCTTTGAATGTAATTCTGCCTTTTTGGAGTTTTCATCTCTTTCTGTTTGGATGTTTAAATCTGTAAATTCAATTTCTTTTATTACAATTCTTAAATTTGTGCTATTCAAGTCGTTTGAATCGGGTATTTTATAACTGTAAAGTTTCTAAAGAATTGTTCGGCAAATGAAACTTGTATTAATGTTCTAATCAATAAGTACAAAACAAACCTGCACAAGTTTCAGTGGCTGCGTCAACTAACTCCCCATTTGAATGTCGGTTAAGATCGTGCAACGTCTGACGCTTCTTTCGGACAGACAAACAAATACTGCTATCTTCGTAATCCATTAACTTGTTCTGAAATGTAAAAGCGTAAATAAATACCTTAGGGAGTTGATCCGCTTTAATTTGGTCATAGCGCGATATTATCCTAAGTTTTGAAATTTTTTAAATCCAATTTAACATTCCTCTTTAAAATACTACTGTAGATTTTGTTGCAGAAGGCTGATCAACTACTTTCCTATTAGAAAACAAAATATCGAGAAACAGATAGAGGAATCTGAAGTTTCTAGTTAGTTCCTAGATTTGGTAACGTCTAACGTCCGAACCCAATAATTACTCCACAATCTCAGATTGTTTTCAATCAGACCGTGACAGTCGATCGATCTCCTATCTGCATCCCAATAACCAAATCCTACGAAGACAATCCATTTTTGGCAACAGATGAAATGCTCTTTGTCGTTCCATTTTACCGAGTTTTCACTCATATTTGATAATCAATGTAAACCGAATAAAGTAAATAAAACCGTACAAATAACATGTAAAATATACATGTGTATGTTTAAAACATAACAAACAGTTTTTTTAATTATATAAAAAACTGGTGTAAGTTAGAATCTAGAAATAATTAACTGTTGGAATCGAGCTTTCATCAACTGTCATTTTCATACAAAGGTCTATCCACAGACACCGATCCGACGATAGCTTGTATCGACAGATGGCTATTACAATCCGTCGATTGGTTATTAGAACACTTGTTACAACATTTGGATTAAGATTTCTATCATCTAGTCAAAAATGGATTGAAATAGGTTATTGGGTTCGGGAGTAAGTCAATTGAGTAATATTATAGGGTTTAAATAATTGAATTAAAGAAAACATTTTTGAGTATTGCTGTTTGTTTAGATATTTTTTTAAGTTTTAAACATTACCTCTAGCGCCTTCTTCGCTTCCTTCAGTTTCTTGACCTGTTCATCTCTTTCCTTGAGATATTCTGAGCAAGTCTCGCACTCTTCGTCCAATTCCCGATTGCGTGCCTTCACTTGGTCAAGCTCACGTTGACAGGCTTTTAGCTCAGACCTTATTGCTTCTAGCTCTCTGCAAAAAAAATATTACTTTATTTAAAAAAACATATTCGAAGCTTCTAGTCTTATACCCTTCTAGTAACCTTAATAATAATTCTAAAAAAAATCTATCTTTGAAAGTTCGAAGTGTTTGAATACCACGAGTAAGTAAAGATGTCGGTCCTACGCGTTTTAATACTTCGTTCTTGAGCAAAGTATTTTGGGGAAAAGGGACATTACATTTGTATGAAAATGGTCACGTGATCATTAGTTTAAGTAATTATCATATGGTAACGAAAAGTGGTTAAATATATCTTTATATGTATAAATCTGTGCGGCTGTTTGTAGTTAAGCTGGTTTAGGAGGAGTTTAATTGCAAACGACTTTTAAAGAAATTTGTTGTGTTAGATGTTTTTTTTGGTTTGTCGTATGTACAGAACAATGTCGGATCCGCTAGTTCAAAGTTTTTTAAAAGCGGATAATATATATGACTTTTATATTTAAATAGTTGTTAGATTTTTAACCACATTAGCTTTTTACCATCAACCTAGCAGACGAAGAAAAAAAAACTAAATTTCTGCATTAAAATGGTGCAACAATACCTCAAACTTTTTTTTTTATGGCTCTGGCACGATTTGTGCATTAGCCAGCGTCAAGTATAGGATTTTTTATAATTCGTGCTTGTCTTTTTTTTAGAAATTCGACAGTGTCCTCTATGTACGGTTTAAGCACTCGCCCGGTTCCGCACAACCCTCCCAAAGGCCGAGAACAATTTTAAATTAAAACTTGCCCTCGAACCGGGAATCGAACCCGGTACCCCTCACCTAGCTGCCACTTAATAAGACCGCTAGGCTATGAGGCCCCCCTTCCTCAAACTTAAAAATATCTTTTTTCATGTAGGTAAACAAGTACACTTATGAATCGTCCGAAAGAAGTTAAATTAATTGTAAATTTACATTTACTACCAGTTCGCAAGTCAAGGACGTAGAGCGGGTAAGAAGAACTGGCAAGAAACTTTCCGCCACTCTTTTTAATCGCCAAGTATTGTCATACAAATTGTTTAAACTGAAGCAAATCAATCTCAAGGATTAGGATCATTTAAGTATTCTTCAAATTTATACCAACTTTAATTTCGTTATTATAGTTTTAAAATAGTTATCCTTATAATAAAAAACTCCACCGAGATTTTCTGTTTCTTTATATAAGAAAACATTAAGTCGAAAACTTAAGAATTACGCCATTAATATAGTGAAAGTAGTATCGATATGCAGTACCTATCTTTTGTAGTGTTTTTCTCAATACTCTTCTGCATTTTGGTCAAAGTATTCTTCAGCTCTTGTTTTTGATAGCGAAGGTCTTCAATTGTTCTCGATAACTTCTTATTTTTCTCGACCTCGGCATCGTAGGACATTCTATCCACCACCACAGCGTGGAGATTCGCCCAATCTATAATTTAAATTAAATTAAAAAAAAAAAAAAGTTGTGTAAAACTAAAACAACCTAAAATAAATAAAGTTTAGTTACTAATAATAGAAAAGAAACAATTTTTTAGTCGCCGTGAAAATCTAAAAAATCGTTTATTTAGAGTATTGAAGGTTGATGATACATGTATAAAATATAATAGAATTAATATCACAGTAATTTAAATCGGTTGCTATTCAAAATTTTATTTTAATTTTACATTTTATTTTGATGATAATTACCTTCTTCAGTATTGACGGCAATATCGACTGAACTGGGTTTGGAGACGTTGCCTTTGACTTTTTTCTTTTAATTCCTCGATTGTGATCTGGAAATATTTAAGATTAGGATTATTTCTAATGTCTTTTATTGAGATAACCTTTACACATTTAAAGAAAACACTTTTTAACCGGATTGAAGTTATATATAATAGAGGACACCGTGAGCCATTTCTGCCAAAACGCTCCATCTTTTAGTCGATACCAATTCCAGGGAAATAAATACAGATAACACAACTTTTTCTACAGCTGTGATACTTTTTGACATTCAACACCTTTTGTCTTCAGTCACCGTGACCACGCACGCTGTAAAGGACGCGAAACGTCGGTTAAATTTAAAATTATGTTAAATAATTGTAAATTAAAAACATAACTTCAATCCGGTTAAAAAGTGTTTTCTTGAAAAGGATTGCTATTGGATTGCAATTGCTATTGCTATTCATTAAGATATCTTGTTTAAGAATATACAAGTATAGACTGCTTCACAGATACATTTTGGATCGCAGAGCCAGCGTAGTGAGTGAGACTCCATCAATATATAAATATATTATTTTATATTTTTTCTGTTATCTTTTACTAGTAGAGCCAAGGCAAGTTGTATATTTTTGTTCCATATGAAATTTCTCCAGCTGTGCCATTAAAAAAAATTGAGTCGAGAATTCGTTTTTCATTTTCCTCAAAGGCCTGTTTATCACTCGAAAGAAAGTACGATTCCAACCTACAGTCTGTTAATGCGGAAAATCCTGTAAAATAATAACTTGATGCAGTCATCTAAATGCGCAACCTAAAGACGTACATTGTTTGAGTGTGTAGTGTTTTAGTGTAAACACTAAATTCAAGAAGAAATCTTAAAAAATAAATGGATATTTGAATATTACGTGCATAATAAACCTACCTCAAGACTTCGCTTATCCACCTTCAGCTGGCGGCACTGTTCATCTCTTTCGCGAAGATATTGAGCGCAGATCTCACACTCTTCGTCAACTTCCCGGAATTTCTCTTTCCACTCTTCCAATTCCTCCTGGCAAACTGACAGCTGCTTGCGCAGTTTAGATACTTCACTGGAAATAGAGCGAATGTAATTTTTGTGCACCTATTGGCTTATATACTTAAAAACTATTAAATAACTAAAAGAACCAAGCGATAAGTTATCTTTTTTTAATTGTTTTCGTATATTTGTTGTGATTTTTTTAAATAATGTTGTAAATAAAGTTTTATTAAAAAAAAAAATTTTGTACATACCTGCCCGAATCGCTGCCTGAAGATTCGTTGTTTCGATCGACGCTATGTCTTCGGGAAGTATCTGAAAAATTCAAGTAATTCATTTTAATACATAATTATACATTCATAAACCAAAATACTTTACTTTATTATTTAACTACAGATAATTCAAGACAAGAAATAAAGATTATTAGAATTCTAATGCGCAATAGTGTACACAATCTAGGATTATTAACGCTTATCTATAATATAAAAATGAATCGCAAAATGTGTTGGTAAGCGCATAACTCAACAACGCCTGGACCAATTTGGCCAATTCTTTTTTTATAATATTCCTTGAAGTACGAGGATGGTTCTTACGGAGAGAAAAATTAAAAAAATTGAGTGAAAAAGTCTAAAAACAACACTTTTCTATATTCCCATACATAATATTCGTCATAATACTTAAGTCAATTTGAACTTTAATACCATATAATAAAGTTCAAGTGCCAGTGGAGGGGTTCCGGGAAGGTAAATTTTTTTTTGACTTAATGTATTTGTTGTCTTATCAACTTTCTTTTTTTTATCTTACTAGCTAGCTAGACCGGTATCCCGAATAGCAGAATAAGTATTTAAAAAAAACAAAGAATCGACTGTTAGGCGGTACGATGTTCGCCAGGCCAGCTAGTTGTACGATAAATCATTGAAAACACATGTTTTATGTAAGAAATACGTACCCAAAGCGCTGCGGTATGCGTCGTGAATACTTTGTCTTCGACGACGTGATGCCTGCACGCTACTTGCCCGGGAGCCCTCTTCTTCACTCTGGCAAAACCCATGAAAATTACCATTATTGGGTTCCAATATCGGAAAATTAAACCGATGGATAACCAAAATCGTTTCGGAAAATATTTTAATCTCATTCTAATAGAAATTTGGAGTAGTTGAAAATTTCAGCGAAACAATCGATGTCACAATAACCATTACATATATATGTAATGGTTCTCGAACTGCAGTAAATCCTAAGATATTCCAGTAAAACCTAAGATCTACCAATTCCTAATGGTAAATGTCCAAAAAGGTTTGCGATTCGAACTCTTACCACCATTCCGTTGGTAAATCTTAGGATTTACATTAATGGCACGGTAAATGTTGAAAAACAAAAAAATGCACCTGCAGATCATCAGGATTACTTTGTAGTTCTAAGTGCCACTATAGCAATCCGTGTTGTAACAAGTGAAATATTTTTTTAGGTACCTTATGTAGGTGAGATATTCAGAGATAAACGTTGTGTTTTTTTCAAAATAATTTAAGTAAGTTGGTATTAGTTTGTACTTATTACTATCATATGATACCTTTATAATACTATGTACCTGTTTTGTCTAATAGTTCATTAAACGAAATAATTAAGAATTACACATTGTTTTATTCCTAAAACCAACATCTACCAGCTGACAGTGGTAAAACCTAGCATATACTGAATTCGAATGGTAAAAGCTCGAAAAAATCGTCGTATTTTCAGAAATTCTTAACCAACTCATGTCGGTAAATCCTAAGACTTACACTTAAATCTTAAGATTAACCGTAGTTTGAGCTTTTACAGTAACATATATAACAAATACATTTCGGAACATGCCAATTTTACTATTAAAAGGTTTAATTTGATTTTTTAAAATAACTGTTTACTATTTCATGTGTGTATTTTTGTAATATTTACAAAATAATCTTTCTCGCACAGCGTGACCATTTTACAGAAAGAAATGAAAGAATATTTTAATTAAAATAATGTAATTAGATTAATAATTTTTAAAGGTGATTCTATAGTTAGTCTAAATTGCTTGAGAGGTTTAAAAGGTTAAGAACGATAGAGAAAAGAGTGTCTCAGAGAAATTAACACACACGCACGTACCTGTTCGTGTCTAGAAGCTAGGCTGTCTCGCCTGGAAAAAACAACATCCTATTAAGTAATATTCATTAGTTATTTTAATACGAAATATTTTATTATAAATAGTATAGAAATGACAACTGACTCATAGTATGTCTGTCTTATTAGAAATCTTAATTTCGCTACAACAATTAAATCTTTCTAACCATTGCTTATAAATTAACATTAGAGAATAAGTATTTTTGGATTAATTATTGCATGAAACTGGAGTATTTAGAAAGAAATCTGGATCGATCGTTAGAAGATAACAAAATTAACTCACCCTTTACTGAGCCTGATTGGTGTACTTCTATTGGATCCCTCGTCTACGTCCATAAATAGATCATCACATTTACGAGACTTGAATAGGGCTTCAACCTTCTTTGGATCTGTAATTTTAAACAATCTATAAATTCCTTTCGTTTTCCTAAAACCATTGACGGGACGTAAGTTAGTATAATACTGTATTATTAAGTTCCCAGAGGGTTTTGACAAAGGGACCTTAAAAAACGTTACCATGATTACGATATAAGTTATTAAAATGGTTTCAAAATATGTTTAGTATTGTCTTTGATTAACATAACTTTTATTCATTTAATAAAACACTATTTTGACCGGATTGAAGTTATTTTTAATATGGTAATAATAAATACTTCAGAAATACAAAAGCAATTCGTTTTTATTGTTGTTTTAATACAATGCAACTAACCGTCATCGTTTTCGGAGAAGGTCCTGTGAGAGTCATAGAGACTTTGTCGTCTGCTCCTGTTACCATTCACTTCGATACACATCCGTTTACTTTGAATATCTTTCTCCAATTCTGATATACGATTCTGCAAATAAATTTCGTTTAGCTATTAAACTTGGCTCTGGTTCAGATGAGATCTTGAATCTACTGAATTTTTATATAATTCATATGCTCGAACAGCGAGCCATTCAAGAAATTTCAAAGACTAATCATTTCTATAAAAATCAAAACTTTAAACCGAATCTATTGGGTTTGTTTCCTGTGTGAATCACTAACAAATGTAACTGATTTGTTATACTAAAATGGCCCTACTCTATTAATAAAAAAATGTGTGCGTGTACTAGTGTACACACGTAAGAAGTGAAACTTGTTTATGACCTTATTTTTCGTAAAATGATCTACTATATGGAACTTTACAGAAATTGGTTAAATAAAGTTAAATTAGATAAAGTTTAACAAAAGGCTTTTATTATCATAGACATGAATACAAATATAATTATTTCATTTTACCTTATTACTACTCAGATTATTACAGAATTTCATTAATTGTAATAGAATTATTACTATCATTGTTATCGTTATTATATATTATTGTTATTAATGACTTCGAATCTCTCGGATCAACCGTGGTAGGGACAAGATAATCTTTTTCGCGTTTTTCTTTGGCGATTAACCGAAAAATGTGACGGTAAATTTTTTTCCAACGCCGATAAATAAGTTTCACTTCAATAATAATTTGATAATGTTTGCTTAAATTCCGCAACATAGAGCGAGAAGTCATCTCAATATTTCCGTGGCTAGTCGATTTATGGACACTGGCATTTAACCATGTTCATTAAATATTTCTAAAACGTTAACATTATATATTTGTTCGTGCTGATCCTAATTGAAGGGTTGTGTATTCTATTGATAATGTAAGTTATCAATTAAATAACGCAATCTCTGATACGGTAGGCAGAAAAAATTACTACTATTCATACTATAGAATTATAATTAATAATAGTTATTGCCTAGTTGTTTATTAAAATTTACTAATTTTCACACAAATTTAATCAAATACTTCTTCACTGCTTATGTAGAGGTGTTGTCTACATTTCCTTTTATATTGTGAGATAACCTATTATGCGTGGATATTGATGAATTTATTGTAATTATCTTAATAAAAACGGCACAACATTATTTATTTTCATTTTATTTGAAAAATACTTTACCTCCAAACTGGCCTTAATGCTCTTCAAGGAGTTGGCTTCTTCCGCGTGTAAAGCGTCCTTTGATTTTAACTCGTCCAACAATGCTGTCAATTGTGACAACTTCTCAATATATTCAACATTTGATTTCTCTATATCTGCCTTCTCTTTCTTTAATCTGAAAAATACAACGAAAAAGTGAAGTTTAAAGTTAATTCGCACAAGTTTTAATAATAACGTCTTAGTTGTAAATTGTAAAGAAAGTTGTTGTTAAAAAAATATGTACAGTAGGTACATCTGTAGCCTTTATATCTTATCTTAATATATATAAATTACGTGTCACGTTGTTTGTCCGCTATGGACTCTTAAACTACCGAACCGATATCAGTCAAATTTGCACACCGTGTGTAGTTTGATCCAACTTAAAAGATAGGATAGCTTACATCTCAATTTATACCCGCAATATTATTTTATTGCAAAATATTTGTTTATTATTTGATAGTCACAATTCTAACAAATGGCGCTGTGCTGAAAGTACCAACGTTTCACATAAGCTACAATTTAATGGCATATCCACCAAAAAAGCATGGTGGTCCCCATGACTGGTGATCTCCTACCGTTTCCTTTGAATAGTTTGCTACTATGTAATATAACAAAAACCTTAGCCACAGCAACGCTTGGCCGGTCTGCTAGTTACATTATATAGTGTTTCAGTCAGTCTGTTTCATAGAAAAAGCGATGACTCTATGACGATGATGATTATGCCCTTAGGATACCTTCAGATCTTTCCTTGGTTTACGCGAGTACACATTTGAAGTAAACTTCATAAACGAAAAGCCCGAAGTTACGCGAGACTGCTGACCACTAACAGTACTTTATAAAATCGAGTAAATAACCTTTAAAAAGTTATATTAAAATTGGTTAGTCTTAGGATTTATGCGATAAAATAAAAAAATAATTCACGTAAACTATTTACAAAAAAACTTATTTTTTTCATTATAAAAAGCAATGTACACAAAATACTTATTTGTCTTTCTCTCTGATTCAAATTCTATTTATGATGTGGTAGAAAAAAGGCAGTATTTTGGTGAAAAAAAAAAATTTTCAATTAGTGTATTATCATTTTAAATAGTATGCTCAGGTATGTGAAAATTTTAAACGAAAGACAAAACCATGCATTTAATTTAACAGAAATTCATCGATCCGAGTCATTTGCCTAGCTGTTTAATCAACTGGCTGAAGATCTTTCAGGCCGCTAGTTAAACGGCTAATTAAGCTAGTTGGCTGCGACATATACAAATTAATAAAATTACCTTGAAATCATCTTGCACTGGAATTCGGCTGACTTCTGGTACGTCTTGATATTAGTTTCAAGTCGCGAAAATTCTTTTGTTTTCTCTTTTATCTCTTCATTTAGCAATTTATTTTGATCTAGTAATGTCTTTGATTGAATCCTTAAACTCTCCATGTCATTGGAACTTTGATCTACAGCTTCCTTCAATATTAACATGTCTGATGTTATCTTTTCTAAATCTAATTTGTTTTGTTTTATAATATCGTTAGCTTTTTGCAGTTCAATAGAAGCCGATTCTTTTTCTTGGTTTAAAATGTTGTTCATTGATTTTAATTTATCTATCTCATCTTTATATTTCTGTAATTCCTTAACCACCTCAGCAATTTGGCTATTTTGCTGTTGAGTGTGCAACTGAGATTGTAAGGCTTGCAAAGCAACTTCTTTTTGTTCAATGGTTTCCTTAATTATATTAATCTGGTCGGTAAGATTTGTAATTATTATTAGATTAGTGTTATTTTCTTCAACCTTTTTGTCATAAGTACATTTAAGTATATCATGGACTGATATTTGTTCCTTAAGTTGTGCTTCCTTGTCATTTAATGCTTCGCTAATCTGCGCATTTAGGTTACTAACTTTGCTAATTTCTTCTTGTAATATGGATACTTCTCTATTCTTTTCAGCCAATGAAACTTTCATAGTATTAATTTCTAAAGTTAATTTAGTATTTTCTTCATTTACTGACTGTTGCTGTTGTGTAGCACATTTAAACATTATTGGAATTATTTCATTAAATGGCATAGATAAATTTACAGCTTCTTTATTAATAAGATTTTTACTAATGAGATCCTGATAAATCTCATTTGTAGTGTCATGAAGAAACTTTTCTTTTTGTACTATGTTTAGGGTGACACAATTATTAATTTCAAACATTTTTTCTTTTTGCAATTGAAGAAGGTTGTATTCTTTTTCCTTATTAAGTAAATCAGATTTAACAGTCTCCAACTCTTTATTCAACATTATAAGGTTTTCGGAAATCGTCTGATGCGAGTTATTTTCTTCAGATAGTTTAATCATTTCTGATCTATGTTTTTCATCTATTAAATTTAAAATACAATCAAATATTTCTAGGCTAGATAATCCAAATTCTTTGTCAATAAATTTAAAGAAACTATTTTTGTACAAATCGAGTACTTCAGATAATTCAGATTCATTTATTGTATTGCTTATACCACTCAAATTATTTTTAATATTGGCTACAACAATGGCCATTGCTTGAAGATAGACATTTTTTTCATTAATTTCTTTTGTTAGCTTTTCTTGGTTATACATTAAATTGTTAAAGTCAGTTTGTAATGTCTGTTTTGATTCTTCAAAGTCCTTTAATTTATTAACTAAATTTTCTATTTCATTATTGTGTTTTGTAAGAATATTCGTGTACAGCAGTTTCATAACATCAATAATTTTCATATCACAAGTAAAGCTTTCATCATCTAATCCAGTATTTTCAATGCAGTAATTAACACAGTCGACTTTATCTAGTGTGTACACGTCTAATGGCCGTTCTTTTGGAAAATCTTGCATATTAAACTTATTATCAAGGTCGCTTTTTTTTAATGACATTAAATTAGAGTCCCCTATACTGTCATCCAAGTCCATAGCTTGAACGATTGAAATGTTACTTTTATCTAAATGATTTTTTATATTCGTAACTTCATTTTTTAGTTCGTTGCAGTCCTCTTTACCAGCGTGAAGCTCACTTTGAAGAGTACATATTTTATTGTATCTGGACACAGACACAGTGCTTTGTAACGATTTAATTATATCATCTTTCTTTATGCACTCTTGGCATTGGTCTTCTAAATGACGACTATTAAAATGTTCCTCATCCAGGATATCATACGCTTCCTGCAGTTTGGCGTGCTTTTGAGATACTTCTAGGTTGTTTTGCTTTAAGGAGTCTATTTCTTTTTTTAGAGTTTCAACTTCATATATATTGTCCATGACTTGATTTGATAATGAGTTATTTTCCTCCTGTAACTTATCTAACTCTTCTTTTTTTATAAAAATTAATGATGTAAGCTTTGAAATTTCGTGGGATTTTGACGTCAGATCTTTTTCAAAGTTCTTTAATTTGGTGAATAACGCTTCTGTTGAAGCTAATTCAGCTACAGACGTCTTATATTTAGTTTCTAAATCATCTTTTAAACTGGTTATCTCAGCTAATTGTCGACGCAATGTATCATTTTCATTTAAAATATCATTGTGAATTTTTAGGCTGTCCTGAAGCTCTAGACATTTTTCACACTCTTCTTTAATAAAATTAACTTTAATTGGGCTGCTTTGGGAATCAACATACTTTAACTTATTTTGCTTAATAAGTTCATATTCCGATACAATTTCTTGCAACTTATAATTTTCGAGTTTTAATGATTCAACATTTTGTAATATTTTGCGTGTCGTGTCTTGTTGTATTGAAGGATTTTGGATTTCAGTAATTTCACTACAATTGTTTGTCTGACAACCTACATCTATGGAAGATTGCGTTGCATCAAAACAACTTTGTTCATGTCCAGTCAGAGTATTATCACATGTTGTTAAAGTTATATTAGTGTCTAACATAAGGAGATCTCCATCTAACATTGACTCGCACTTCGATGGTTGACTGGCACTGTTCTCCAAAGCAGTGGGCAAGGAATATCTGCGGCAACTTTCATTTGTTAACGCGTTTCCAGTTTTAAGTAATTCCATAAGTTCTTGCAACTCCTTTTTTACTTCTGGTATGTCTTTTTCACATGCCCTATAAAATAAGCTGTGATAGTGTTGAAGTGATCTAAGTTGGGAACTAAGAGATATATTTTCCGCGTATGTTGTAGCTGTTAATGTAGATAGATTCGTTCGATGGTTTACAATTTTCCTCTGTAATTCATGTGTCAGATCTAGTAGCAGTAGTAATTCACCTTTTGCTTCTTCTAATTCTAAAACTAGGCTCTTATTATAATCTTGCAAGTTATGCAAGCTCATTTTAAAATTCTCATTTTCAATTTGTAAAATATCGACTTTAGACTGTAGTTGGTCACATCTGCAAGAAAGCTGAACTTTTGAATCACACGAACTTGTATTAGTAGTAGAAGGAGAAGTCGACGTTTCATTTTCGCTAGGCTGTATCGCATCTAATATCGTATCGCAGCAAATAGTTAGTAAACTCGGAGGTGATTTTAGGTCTAGAATCTCTTCGGAATTTTCTTGTGCCTTATTAACATTAGGATTACTTTTCTCTACTACTATACTTTCGTTGCTACTTAATCTTTCCAATTCTTTCCTTAATTGAGAATTCTCAAACTCAAGTTTATCAAGTTCTTGTTTCATTGTTGTATCCAGGTTCAAAAACTGTTCCTTCCATTCCAGTGCTTTATTTTGCAAAACATCAACTTCACTTGATTTTGCTTCAAGATCATTTTGCAATTGACCTAATGCTTTGTTGCTTGTCGTTAAATTACCTATAATATCTTCTTTATTAGTTTTAATAGACGCAATTTCCTCACAAAGATTAGAGTTTTCTTTTTTGACTTGTGAAAGAGTTTTACTTAATCTTAGGTTTTCTTCATTTAGTTGCTTTATTTCTGCTTTGGCATCCGCTATTACTTGTAGGTTGTTGGAATTATTGCTTTCATTTTTGGTCTGAATAGTCCGAAACTCACTTGCCAGTTTATTTATATACTCAGAAATAAGCTCAGGAGAGTTGGTGCTTTTGGAGCATTCAACAGAAATATTTTCAATTTTGAGTTCCAATACTAAATCCATTATCTTCTTCACTATACCATGTAAGATATTATCATGTGCAACTAAAACTGCTTGCAGTTCTTGACTTCTACATTCTAATTCTTTTGATTTATCATTAAGATTTGATACGGTTACTAAAATATCGGATCTTAAATTATTAATTTCTGTATCTTTACTATTAATATTTTGAAGAGAATTGTCTTGCATATATTTTACACCATCAATCAGTGTTTTAATTTTGGAGCCTAACTTAAATGTAGTACTTTCTTCATCTGCCACACTATTATTTGACTTTTGAGTGAACCCAATAAAATCTGAAGCTGAGTCAACTATTTCACTAGCATTATCTAATGCTTCATGAAGTTTTATTATTTCTTTTTCATGTTTATTTATTAATTCTTGCAAACACTTTTTATCTTTAATGCTACACTGAACAACGCATTCTAAGGTATTTAAATTATCACCAAAAATTTTAAAAACGCTTGCAAAATCGTCAAACATATCTGGTATGCCTTGAATATTTCCTGACAACAAAATAATAACATCATGTAGTTTATTAAGTGTTAACTTCGCTAAATTTAAATCTTCTTGGGTTTTGTTGTTTTCATTAATAAATGAGCTGATAATATTATCTTTTGATTGTATAGTTTCTTCTAAAGTATTTATTTCTGATTCTAATTGTATAGTTTTGGACTTGAAATTTTCTTCTTGAACAGTATACTTTTCTTCTAAAGTACTTATTGTAGAAATCAAATCGCCATTCTGCTCTTTTAGTTTTTCTATTTCAATGAGATGTTTTGAATTAGTATTTTGATTTTCTTTGCTGGACTGTTCTTCATTGGCTAAACTAGCTTTTAATTTTGCTATTTCCTCATTTTTATTATCTAAAATATTCTTTAGAGAATTTATTATGTTCCTGATATTTTCATTGTTTGCAATAAATGATTCTTCCATTGCTATCAATGATTCTATATCTTTATCATCAACTATTATGTTACTAATGAGTAATTTATCTTTCTGTAATAACTTCTCTTGCAAATCTTGAATCACAGCGTTATAAGAATCAATATCAACATTAAACGTTTTTATTTCTGATTTTTGACTTTCAACTAAAGAATTGAGGTCACTTATTTTGGATTTTAAAATATCATTTTCGGTCTCTATTAGTAAGACATTTTGTCTGTAGTCAGCAAGCATTTCTTTCGTTTCTCGGTTAACATTTTCTAATGTCTCTATGTTGTGCTTATGAGCTGATATAGTAGCTTGTAACTCAATAATAGTTTGTTCCTTTAACACAATTTGTGCTTCTAATTCAGCAGCCATATCACGGATCTGTTTTGAAGCTAAGTCAGAATCTGAAGAATCACTTGCTGATGTTCTACATCCATCAGATAACACACTTTGTTCTTGACTTTTGAGTGGAGAATACATTGTACCTGTGTGTATAAAATATTTAGTTAAATAAACAAAAATCTATCAATTATTTGTTAGAGTATAAAACAGTTAAAGCCTCACCATTCTCTTTCATTTTCTTTGTAGAATGTTCTTCCAATAGGGATAGTAATTCTTTTTCCCTATTTTTTGACTTTTTCATTAGGGTTTCGTAACTCACTTCCCAGTCGGTTAATTTAGTTTGATATTGTACACATTGGGCGTCTAAATCCAACTAAAAAATACAATATTATAAATACATATAATATATCACCAGGAAAATACTATTTAATATATAAATATTTCCTCATTACATATGTAGTCTCTGATGGCAGGGACTACATATGTTAAATATATCCATACACACAAATCACTGTAAATGATTAATTATATTTGATTCCACCAAGGACTAATTACGCAAAACTTAATATGTATCAAGGCGCATATACAGTTGAAAAATTTCCATCCCATATCGAAGAAATAAAACCTTTTTACAAATAAAAAAATCTCTTAAAAGAACATATAACAACGTACCTATAAAAAAAATGTTATTCAATAAAAATAATTCGATATACTGTGAAAAAATTAATAGAATAAATGTTTACAAAATATAAAAAAGTCACTTCTAGCATGAATTTCTATATCTGTGAACAAGCGTCTAAGTAAATATTATTATATTATAGTAGTACTATTCATTAGTCACACAATGCCTATTGTACCATTGATGCGATCTACCTGCATTTTTGTAAAAAAATATTGTAAATATTATTTTTGTTCATTATTTTAGTGAATCGGTTTTACACGAAGTTTTTGCAAAGTTTATATTAATATTTGTAGAATTAGTATTTTTATCTCATATAGCTTATTCTATAAAAAATTGAAAACACAATGTACACAACTTGCGTTAAATTTAAATTTTCTCCTTAAGGTGCGCTTACACGAGGGCAATAATTGCTCGGCGACACGAATGGACCGATCTGGAGCAATTAATGGAGCAATTTCAATAAATTATTTCGGCGATATTGCTTCTAATTGCTCCAGATATTTCATATCGCTCAATGTCGCAGATACGAATTGACGAATATCCAATGGACTTGGAAATTCCTAGCAATTTTTGTATATATCTCATTCGCACTTGTTTGTTTTGCGGCTTGCCGTCTTGCTTCCGCGGAGAGCGAGAGGTCTAAATAATAATAATTTCTAATTACTTTATTCAAAAGAAATTCAAAGTCTGTTCGTGACATTCTAGTAAAGTTTTTGAATGATATACCATCTAATTCTTTACAGAATGAAAATTGCGGCCTCTTTGCCAAAAACGATCGCACCCAGATTTGACGCACCAGACGCGTATTCCTTTTCTTTCTTTTTTGTTTTTGATTAATAATAAAAAAGCGCTACAAGCCGCCGCAGCAACAACAATGTCGTCCATAGCGAGCGAATACTGAAATGCTCGTGTAGGACAGTATTGCCTATAGTCGAATTTTTAATTAGACGAAGCTATCTGACAGTAGCTAATGTCACTTAGTAAAATAATGTTGCCACATTTAAAGTAATAGTGATACATTCAGTTCTTGTTCAATCAGATGAATGAACAATGAGTGAGTGTAAATAGTTAATCATTTCAAACTATAAAATAATATTATTAGTATTTTAAAATTGTATAAAAGATTTCTGATATAAGTTAGGTACTAGTAGTATGTAACTACAATCAGTTTTTTGACGGCTGTAATACAAAGCGCGGCGAGGCGACTTGTGCCAACACCGATCGACGCCGCGCGCGTCGGTCGCCATTTTGTTTGTCATTCGGCTTCTAACCTCTGGTCTGATAGCACGAATGTTTTTTCTGCGCTCACGCTGTTTAGTTATAGTTTTTGTTAAGTTTTTCATTACGTTGTGTTTGTGGTTATTGTTGTGTTTGTTTATTGCTATATTGTTTCGTAAAAACGATATGGATCCTCAACCAAGCACGTCAAGCCAAAGCTTGTCTCCAAGAAAGAAGAGACCACGGATTGCTTTAAGCGTTACCGAAAAAGTTATGATACAAAACGTCTACAAACACGTATTTGAGGAGAAAGCTGCTTTACTATTACCTATTGAGGCTCCCGAAAAAAAAGAATGTGTTTCGAAAACAGCTGACATTTTGGGAATTAGCGTGACCTCAGTTTACAGTGTATTAAAAGAATACAAAGAAAATGAACAATTTAAGTCTCCCGAGAAACGTGGACCGAAACACAATTTCAAAGATAAATTAGACGATTTTACTTTGGCCGCTATAAGGCGAAAAGTTCATAATTTTTTTTATGCAAATGAGTCACCCACCATTATAAAGGTAACAAACTTTATTCCATCGACTGCATTATATTCTGTGTCCACAATAATGATCTTTGTAAAACCAAAGTATTAGATTGCGTAGACTTCCTTACTCAAAAACGTTTTTTTATTACTTCACAGATTCTTAAGGTTGTCAATGAAGACCCAGACTTACCCAATTTTTCTTGGAGTACATTAAGAAATGTTATGAAACATTTAAATTTCAAATATGTCACAAAATCAAGAAAAAGCATTTTAATTGACAGACAGGACATTATGTTATGGCGCCAGCGATACCTTCGCAAAATTAAAGAGTATCGAAGGGAAGGAAGGTATAGGGGAAGATCGTTACCCTTCGTACGCGGGGCACATTCATACAGTCAAAATAAAACTTGAACGAAATAAAGTACAGTCTTGCTTTTGTATGTGTGCATGAGTCGAGGTACCAACTATACATCAACGAAGTTTCGTGAAATTCGCACCGATGAGAGTGAAGTTACAGGCATAGACGTGTTTTCGCGCTCGGTAAGTAATTTTTGATCTATGTTTTTATCTCTTGTTACCGTAGATAAAATAAGTTTTCGTGTAGAGTATTCTATCAGTAACTAGCAAAATATACTTAAGATACGTCTCCAATACTTAATTTATGACGTTTTCCTATTAATATTAAAATAAGTTATATTTTGTTGTTATTCAGTTAGTGGGGTACATTCGGACAGCACTAGATGGGGCACATTTGTACGAATTGTACAACTAAATTTGTATAATAATTTGTCGACGCGAACTGTCTTTTTCATACAAATTAAGTTTTCGACTTTCTACATATTACACTACTGTTAAGGCATCTTGACTAAGGTTGATTTTGATGCTTGTGAACCAGATGCTGTGAATAATTTACCAATCCATCAAATAGTAGTTCCTTCGAAGTCAGTTTTGACACCAGAGGCATTTCGACCCTATTCGCATTCTGTAAGAAGTAATAAAACAAGCAAAATGACGATGACGGCCAGGAAAACCACGAATTTATACTGCCACACCCGAAAATAAGAAGTTGTAATCCACACCAAAGAGTAAAAAATGTAATTCTAAATTTAAGATACCTAACTAATTAAATTTTGTTTTACATAAGAAAAGTATTTTATTTTTGTTTAATAGAAATTAAATCTTTATTTTTGTGTTTAATTTCATTGCTAATAAATGAATTTTGAACTACCCCACAGCGTAAGAAGGTACCCCAAACACTGTACGAAGGTGCCCCGTTGATGGGGCAGATTCGTACGTTTTCCAGATTTAGTTTAAATCATAATTATGGTTGAAACATCGGATGAAATCATTTGTCATTTTTTTATTTGAATCTCAGATAGTTAGACTATAAATTTAAGCTATCAGGTGATTGATTCATGGAAAAATTAAAAAATTAAAAAATAAAATGTGAAAACCGTACGAAGGGTCCCCACCTTCCCCTATTTATTACCAAGATGAAACCTGGATCAACGAAGGTAATTACAATTTTCTGTTTTCTTTACATTAAATTGTACTTTCATTAACTAATTGTTATTTTTCATTATCTTGTAGGTCATGCACCGAAGAAGGCATGGATTGACCAGACAGTGTTATCGACTTGCCAGGCCTTCCTAGATGGCCTGACTTCTGGCTTAAAACAGCCTTCAGGAAAGGGCAAACGATTAATTATCGGCCACATAGGTGGGGAAGAAGGATTCGTAGAAGACAGACTACTAATATTTGAAGCCAAAAAAAGTAAAGAAGATTATCATCAAGAAATGAATGCCGATTCCTTTGAGAAGTGGTTTAGTGGGGTCTTGCCAAAACTAAAACCAAATTCCGTAGTAGTGCTAGATAATGCCCCCTACCACTCCAGGAAACTAGAATCGCTGCCTAAAATGTCTTGGACTAAACCTAAAATACAAGAGTGGCTAACGAGCAAAAATATTTCATTCGAAGCAACAATGGTTAAATCTACTCTTATAGACATTGTACGGCAGCACAAACAAGAACATTTCGAAATGTATGTTGTGGACGAGATAGCAGCGCAGCTTGAGGTAATTGTTTTACGTCTGCCCCCATACCACTGTGAGCTTAATCCCATTGAGTTGGTATGGGCGCAGGCTAAAGGATATGTTGCAAAAAATAATAACACCTTCAAAATGACAGAAGTAAAAAAACTTTTTGAAGAAGGACTTAAACTAATCACACCTGATAAATGGCGTAGCTGCGTGTCTCACATAATTAAAGAAGAAGATAAAATGTATGGTCTCGACGACATGATCGACAATGTTTCAGACAGATTTATTATTAATGTCACCGAAAGCGATAGTGATGATTTTTTATCTGATGATGAATAAAAACAAATTATGTAATAAGCGATGTTTATTATTTTCATTACCAACCTATAATTGTTATATTATTAAACATCTATAGTATAAACTACATGATATTGAGAATAGGACAGTCTTACAAGTTTCCTCGCAATGATTTCCTTAATGTTAAAAACAATTGGTATTTAGTACTAAACTCGTTGGTATGTTCAAAGCACGACTAAAATTCGAACCCGTATCCGATATCGGCAGTACGCAACGTTAACTATTCACTAGGCAATCGAGGCAATTTTATTAATTCAGGAGTTTTTTCAATCATTCACAAATCATGTGACAAACACAACACTATTTTTATTTCATTAAAAACTGACAACACCGTAAACGTCATCTGACTTCGTCTAATTAAAAATTCGACTATAGTTGATGAAGTTGCGCCATATCGCTCAATATTGTATTGCGCAGAACATTGTTCTTGCTGCGGCGACTTGTCGCGCTTTTTTTATTATTAATCAAAAACAAAAAAGAAAGAAAAGGAATAGGCGTATCTGGGTGCGATCGTTTTTGGCCGCAATTTTCATTGTGTAAAGAATTAGATGATATATTATTCAAAAACTTTACTAGAATGTCACGAACAGACTTTGAATTACTTTTGAATAAAGTCATTAGAAATTATTATTATTTAGACCTCTCGCTCTCCCCGCGGAAGCAAGACGGCAAGCCGCAAAACAAACAAGTGCGAATGAGATATATACAAAAATTGCTAGGAATTTCCAAGTCCATTGGATATTCGTCAATTCGTATCTGCGAAATTGAGCGATATGAAATATCTGGAGGAATTAGAAGCAATATCGCCGAAAAAATTTATTGAAATTTACTAAATTTATTGAAATTGCTCCATTAATTGCTCCAGATCGGTCCATTCGTGTCGCCGAGCAATTATTGCCCTCGTGTAAGCGCACCTTTAGTGAATGTAATTCTGCATACAGTTAAAACAGTTAATCATACCTTAGCTGTGGTTATATTTTTTAGTTCAAGTTCAGTTTGCGTTATAGTATCTTGTAATTGTTCTATTTGCTTATCCTTTTTATTACATACATCAGTTAAAGAGTTTAAACTTTCCTCTACTTTAAATAGCGCCAGCGACTTTTCTTCTAATTTTTTAATTAGTTCAACCTGAAAATATACAAGTTTATCAAATTAGATTCAAGTTTAAAAAAGATTGCAAACTTCAAGAGAAACATTCTATTTCAATGAACTATGTCAGCTATCTTATAGCTAACTAAGCTAGCCTTCATGAAATTATCTTTGTAGATAATTTTTAATTTGGTTAATTTGATAAGTATAGGACCAATGAAATGTCCATATGATTAGTTTAAACGTCAGCTAAAGTTTATAGTATTATTGTTTGCATTAGCAATTTTTTTAAATCTAGATTTTTTTCTTTTAATTCTGTAATTTTTAAAATTCCGTTAAATATCGACTACTACTTCATTAAATGGCGATATTTTGTTAAAAATAGATTTCAGATTTTCATTTTCCTTTTCTTTAAGCATTTCCTAAGCCCATTAAATATTAGTATTACCGTATCAGGCGGGTAAATTTTCTCTCTTTCAGTAAATTTAACAATGTCTCTATAGTTCTTTTCGGCTTCTTTGTAGTTTCTTCGCAAGACGCATGGTGGAGTTTTGGAAGAATCTGTAAAGGATAAGGGTACTGATTTGACCTGTTGTAAGCAAAGCCAATTAATATTACCGGTTATCCACTTTCGCCATAGTTGAATTGTTCAACATGTCATATCAAATAGACAAGTAATACAAACGGTAGCCGTAAGCTTTTTGCATACTTTTGATAGTGGATAAATTATTGTAGTAAATCTTTTTACGTACTACGTGAACGTCCCCTAAACATTAGAGAATTTATGCATGATAAAATATAGTAGAACGTTTTAGTAAAAATCACATTTAGCTTTTACATAAAATACGGTCACAAAGTTTGTGTAAGTCTTGCCCTGTACCTAGATGAACTTATTGCAACTTGATTGCCTAATTTTTTAGGGTAAGATTAAAACAGTAAACAATCCCAAAGGTAAATATGTCAAAAACATATTGGATTTTGGTCGACTATTATACTATGCATAAAAATGGTATGTATATTATTAAAATACCTTACCATAGCAATTGTGAATCGGCGAACAAGTTTGAACAACCGTCGGTGTGTCGTCGTCGCTATCTGAAAATCGAAATGACGTAAAAGTTTATTTATGTTTTAAGGCCTGAGTGAAACAACACCAAAGAGGAATATTCAAGCTTAGTGTTTCTACTCTTCTATAACTTGCGTATTGGTATGTTATCTAAAGCTGGCGGCTTCAACACATTTACACTTTGTGCTTGTGTAGTGTCTGTGAATAAGCGCGAGGCGTGATGTCAAACTGAAATACAATCACAAATACATCATGAAAAGACTGTCTGTCTCTCTTGCGCTCGGTCAAGCTTATGAGTATAAAAGAGACAGTTATTGTTTTGCTTTTGCTACTGTTTATGTTGATCTTTTTTCAAACATTACCAGGGCAATCTCGTGAAATGGTGCACAATGTTATTAATTATTTTAAGCATCTTAATAAAAACAGTTTAATGAAAAAATGTTATATTTCATTTGACATCAGATGCGATTGGGGTTTCTAAGAGGAGTATTGAAAGAGAGCTTATGTCGAAAAATGAAAAATGATTTACACAAACTACTCTTTTACGTTCTTGGTCGGGCTTAGAAGTTTTGGATCCACCCTCGTATGCACATAATATTTATATGTATTTGACACATTTTTTTTTATTTACAACCCACCCAACCTTACTAAAACCAGAGTAGACTAAAATATATAGCTTGGCAAAAAAGTTATATTTTTAACATACTGTATAGTGAAATTGCATTAGTGTGAGTACTGTGAACGCGCCAGCTTTCGATAACCGACCTATAATCTAAACAAAATGTGACATCTTCATGTTATAATTCCTTATGTAGTTCTTGTTTCCGGCGAGTCGAGAGACGAGTCTCACTCAAAAAGAGATAAGAGGAAAATCTAGTCATCTTTATTAAATTAAGTATAACTGAATTTTAACACTAATTCTAAATTAGAAAAATATTTTTGGAGTTGGATAATTAACATTTGACTATTATAAAAATATTAGTTATTACTTATATGTATATAGTATATACATACTAAATTTCCTAACTGAGTAGGTATGTTTTGCCACAAATTTTTCGGAAGCTAAAAGTCTTATTCAGATGTATTCCAACTTAGGAAACATTCCAAGATATATCAAATTCAGTTTAGTAAACTTGAAATATTCACGCATTTCTGGAAGTATAATATGGTAGGCAAATAATGTCGACTGGTCATTAAATGAAATGACCAGTTTATTTTGTCTAAATAACTTTTATTAATAAAAAAAACCGTCGGAAATACATGCAATAGTTGAAGCAACCAGCAAATGGTAAAAGCTCATACAAGCCTGCTTAGACAAGTCACAACTTGTAAGCAATAAACTATATTGGTATAAATAAAACATAAGCAATTATTTTAATAAATTTAAGACTTTCAAAAAAAATGTGATTTGTGCATTATGAGCAATTAACTTTTCCATAATTGCTCATGTAAATTGGCCTTAACTCGTCATTTTAAGAGCAGCGAGAGATCCACTGACTCCGATGTAATAGATTTCATTCTACATTACTATGTGTCGGTGTATTAATCTTATCTTGTACATAATATAAGCGCTTACCTAATTCAATAATTTCGTCATTAAAGTTAACTTTTTTGTCTCTAAGTGGCGGTGTGATAGCTCTCGCTGGTTCTTCTCGGAGACATGAGAGAGATGCGCTACTGATCGGTGCGAGGTCGGAACCACCCGGTATTAAAAAAGCACTGAAAATATTAAATATTTATAAGATTCCACTTATATAATATAACAAAATTACATCACTACGGTGTGTCGTACCACATCTTCTTCTGATTTTTTTATTTGTTTTATTATATGAATTCAATTGATTGAAATTAATAAAAATCCGTATAAAGATCTGTGTAAAATAATCGTCGGCATTTGAGGTGGCAGTAGTGCTAAATTACCTCTGTTATTAAAGGCCTGTATTCACTGTCATTAGTAACTGCACTGATTAGTGATTAGAGGTAAACAAGTGTGTGTGTGCAGGTGATTAGTTGGCTGCGTAGTAAAGTGATTAGAAGCGTGTTCTATTGTTTTGCGAGTGAACTGCGAGTAGCGATGTCGCGTGCGCCCACCCTTCCCCCTCACTCGCAGCATGCCTGCCAAACTATATGACAACTGAACTTTACTTAACAGAGCCACTAAACAATAATTGGACACTACTTGCACTACGCACCTGCACTAATCAATGTCAATTACTAATCACTTGCACTCGCACTAATCAAAGTATAGTTAATACAAGCCTTAAGTAGACAAGATCGTTACGTCATTCATTCATAGTTCGACAGAATTCTTTGTACTACAATCAAAACCGTTTACGACGACGTCGTTTAAAACAACATACCAGTTGAAAAAAAGGTTCTGGCTGAATTCTATTGTATGAGGTTCTTAATAATAACGTCATCGGCTGTTACGACTATCGGTTTTTACGACCAAATACGAGTAGTCCCTTCGAAGTCGTTATAATAGATATTGACTGTACATGAAAAATTCAAAGTAGATTTATAATTTTTCTGTAAATGTCGCGTAGCAAAAAATATTAGCTCGCATAACTGCCACGCCTTTTCTCTTTGCACACATATTATATTGCCATTAACAACAAGCCTAGATAACCTAGTGATTAAGCGAAAGAATTCCAACCAAGAAGTCATGCGTTCTAACCTCGCCTATGCGCCATAACAATTCTTTCCATTGCGCACATAATTATTTATTTATTAATAACTATTTAGGGAAAGTTTCAGAGTCGAGACCTTGCGCGAACAAGACATCCTTCTGTTTAAATTCAATACGGGAGTCACACTTACCGCTATCGACTCTAAACCTTCCCTCATACAGTTAAGTAGTTAAGAGAAACATCGTACGAATACTGTCATCATATGAACCAAACTTCGACGAGTTCCCTAGGAGGTAATATGCCAGTAATGCTTATAAAAATATATTTATACAACTTTCAAATCGCTGGTTTAGTTTAACAATTAGGCAATTAAGCGATATAATAGGGTCATTCAAACATAACTTTTTAATAAAAGCGCTCCTCGCTATCTATTTTACACTATTAATTATATGTTTTAAGGCTTGAAAAGCAAATTTATTTAGTCAAATTCAATTCAAAATAACTTCATATATTATATATAGGTAACCAACACTTAAGAACGTCAACCGAAAAGATGTTAATAAGTCTAAAATTTACTACCAGTTCGCAAGTCAAGGGCGTAGAGCGGGCAAGTCACAACTGTTATACCTAAATATAAAAAAAAAATACTAACTTGATGCAGAAGTAAGCGCGGTAAATAAATCTTTTTGAATATGAATAAATAGTGATAATAATTTTTCCAATTTCACAATAAAAGTAATAAGTCATTGTTGACACGGTACTGTTTGACGTTTCGAGCTTCTAAAGTAGCAGTCGTGAAAACAGGTCCTATTGCGTTTAATTTAAAAAATGCTGGCTGAAAATTTTTATTTTTTTATTTATTACTCTGATTTTTAATTCCGTTGAATGCTGACAGCTATCATTTTTGACTTGTCAGTGATGGCAAACCTTTATAGCCGGGCACATTTTTCAATACAATACGAGTCTGAACATCTAAGCCTATACATACATTTTATTGGTAGTTAATGTACCCATTTTATTAAGTGCAGTGCTCAACATTAAAAGTGGTTTAACGGCGAGTGGTTGGACGACGTTCCTTTTCATCATAAACAGTAAAAAACACACAATATAACATTTTTTTTTAAAAGGTTTACTAAACCTGGAATTAATAGGAAGTGATGCCAGCTACAGAATAATTAAAGTTAATTCGATATATTGTTCGTGATATTGAAATATTTATCATACATATATATATACACACATATCATAAAAAATACGTAACATTTTTTTTATTGCCCTCAAATAAGTCAAATTTGTCCCTTTTTCGGTGGAGAACTTTTTTAGTAGCAACACTGATGAAATATCAGAATTCTACGGAAATTAAAATCGACTATTTTATAAAGAAAGAAATTGCCAGGGTAATTGTAAAGCCAACGATCGAAATCTGTGAATTTGTATAGCACCTTAGAATGGACAAAACATACGATCAAATTGCTAAATATACATAATATATTTAGGATAGAGGTATGTTAATTAAGTTACATTATAAATTTTAGTAAATAAATAGGAGCGCAAATCACTTGTTAGCCATCGTTGCACACATGGCACCAAAAACACATGCCTATGCACAACATAAAGCCTCATAAATTGTAATAAGTACAATATTCTTGTTTCCGATAATGTCCAAATTTCACTTGTACTGAAGTGTCGCTTAGGGCCGATTTACATTATCTTAGTGTTTAGCAGAGTGCTTTAGGATAGTACTTTAGTTGAAACATGTAAACGCTACTTGCTTTAGTACGGTTCTACTTGACTTTCAAGTTGAATCAAAATAGAATCGCTTTTTATTTTTGTTTCAAGTGATACCCCTCCCGCGCCCGCGCAACCCCCGAGATCTTCCCTCGTTGTGTGTAAACACGTAATTTAGTAAAATCTTTAGGAGAGTGCACAAGTGCCGTGAAACGCGTGCGTGTTTTTTGATTTTTAAAGATGGCTAAATGGTTGGAAGATACTACTATCTAATTTGTGTCTGAATATTATATGTTGTTTACGAATGTTTGTGGAACGTTAAAAACAATTTTTACAAAAACAAACAGGCTAGGCATTCGGCATACACTGCCTTAAAAGAAGCTATTTTATTTATTATTTATATTTAGTTTATTTATTTCGAATAAAATCTCGTCTTCTATTTGTTCCATAACTACAGTTAGTATTTTGCGTAGAATAGAGAGTATTTGCCATCGTCGTTGCGCGTTCATTGTGGCGCTGTAATGATACTCTACTGGAAGAAATGTAAACGTTCACTCGCAACGCACTAAAGAACTTGCCTTTCAAGTTGTACTAAAATACTCTCCTAAACACTAAGATAATGTAAATAGGCCCTTAGATTTATTACCCCTAGGATAGGGAGCGTTCAAGTATTACGTCACGCAATTTTTGGAGATTATTGACCCCCACCCCCATGTATCGCGCCGTAACGTTTTCTGTATGTTTATAGTAAAATGTTTCGTGACTCTTTATACCCAAAAGTTTCCAGTTTGTGGTGTAAAGTACTGGAAAGTCGAAAATAATATTAACAATAACGCGTAATTCAAACCCCCCCAAAATTCGTTACGTAATACTTGAACGCACCCTTAGAGCCAAATTAGTTTTTGTTAGCGTCGCCACCCCACTACCCTTAATTTTATGTTAGATATAAGCTCATGTTTTAAACCATTAAAGCCAGTTGTTACCCAGCTTCAAACAAAGAGTTTTATTTAAACATATCCATACAAAAAAACCGCCATCAAACTTAATTACAGTAGTAACAATTTTGATATATTTCTGTTGGTTTAATTTTTATTAAATACTCACTTGTACTTTAAACTGGGAGTGCAAAACTTAGCTATGGACGGAGTTGGATCTTCCTGTATTGGGTGTAAAGTTGATATTGTCATACGCCTCGGTGGACAAAGTTTTCTTCTCGCACTAGATATGAGATCCGAGCTACTTCTTTGGTGAAAACCGTTCAAAATCAACTTTTGCAGACATGCTATTTGTTTCTGAAGGTTGCAGTTGTCTTGCTGTAATTGAAAAAGTGTATATAAATATTAGCTGACCCGGCAAATGTTGTTTTGCCATGTATATTATTTCTAGGAAACATTTTGTTAGTTCAGTAAAAATAACTATCTACAATAATAAAAATAGGAGTTGAACGTAGAGGGACGAAAATTTAGGGTTGTATGTATTTTTTAACGGCACAATGGTTTAAAAAAATTAAAGACTAAAATTTCGTCCAAAAAATAAAATAAAATATTAGGGGTGGACAACCCTTATTCTTTAGGGGTATGAAAAATAGTAGCCGATTCTCAGATTTACTGAATATTCATATAATTTGATAAAACTCGGTCTAGCCGTTTCGGAGGAGTATGGTAACTAACATTGTGACACGAGAATTTTATATATAAGTTGAGTCCTTCACATTAGAGAACTTTGAAATCATTCTTAAAAATATATGACATGGTTAAATTGCTGGAAATAACAATGTTTTATAACAGAAGCCTACCTTTAGGTTAAAAATTATACATATTGGTTTTTTTTTGAGATAAGAAAATTTTGATACACGGAAGTCTAGATTCTAAAGGTTATATTCATTTGTTTTATCCGTTGCCCAAAATTCTGATACTTGATATAAACAAACGCTTGTTAGACCAATATTAAGCTGAATTCACGAAAACGCAGTTCCTATATAAAGCTACTAATTGTTATATCAAAGTAGATTTTCTATAGAAAAGAAACATCACTATGTACTTTAGTTAATAGAGTGTAATTCAAACTGATTTTATGAATATAGTTCGGGTTAAAATATATTATATATATAAAAATATATTACCTCCACATTCTTCTTATTCTCAAGTGCAGTTTTGAGAGCACATAATTGTTTGGTAAGGTTTTGTATCATACTAGAGCTTGTTGCCACTGCATTCACTTCTGGTCTGTTTTTGATTGCTTTAGCTCTACATGCAAATCTGAAGAAAAAAAAAACAATATGTTAGGTGTGTGTTGGCATACGCCCGAACCTAATAACCTATCTCAATCCATAATGCCTGAGATAGTAATCTTAATCCAAATGTTGTAACAAGTGTACCAATAACCAATCGACGGATTGTAATAGCCATCTGTCGATACAAGCTATCCATGGGAGGTCGTATCGGTGTATGTGGATAGACCTTTGTATGAAAATGACAGTTGATGAAAGCTCGATTTCAACATTTAATTATTTAAACAGATTTTAACTTACACCAGTTTTTTAAATAATTAAAAAAACTGTTTGTTATGTTTTAAACATACACATGTATATTTTAATGTTATTTGTACGGTTTTATTTACTTTATTTGGTTTACATTGATTATCAAATATGAGTGAAAACTTGGTAAAATGGAACAACAAAGAGCATTTCATCTGTCGTCAAAAATGGATTGTCTTCGTAGGATTTGGTTATTGGGATGCAGATAGAAGATGGATCGACTGTCACGGTCTGATCTCAGATTGTTTTCAATATCTGATTGTGGATTGATTATTGGGTTCGGGCGTTAGTGGTTAAGGTGTGACTTTTAACTTTTAGGTGAAGCGGTCATGTATACCATGCAGTGTGCTTATTGAATTTCAATGTGATTAACACTTGCTTGTTCACTGAAAGTAAATATTGTTAACCCATCCTAATGTGTGTCAGGTATAAAAGTAAGTACTTTTGTAAAAGAATATGCTTAAAGAATCAAATGAAACCTAAAGGTAACACCTGTATATGGTTGTATTTTAAAATGATATATTAGAATGTAGTTTTTATATTTGTAACTGCCTTACTGTTCTAGTACTTAGCATGTTCAACTGCATATCACAAAATAGGTCAAGTAGGTTTGTAGAACATTATTATTATGGTGTAAATGCAGATAGGTTAGGTTCTTTGTATAGTTTTTATAATACCATATGTTGATAGTTTACTTTTGTATGAATCTCAAACTTACTGTAGTGTTGATATGGTTTCTTCGACAACTGCAGGTGTCACTGCACATATAATGCTCGTCTTCGCGTTCCCTCCGAGCGAGTTTTGTAAAATGCGTGTCAATTTACTGTCGCGATAACTTACGTGTCTGTAACGCGAGTAAATAAATAACAGGACTTATTGGTTCATTTATACAAAACGTTAAAAAATATTATCTTCAAAAAATAGTGCATGATAGTGTTATCTAATAAGTATGCAAATTTTTTATCATAACACTTATCAGAATTTTTAGATTTAATTTATTACAGTCATATTAGAAGGTTAGACAAAAATTTCAAATTAAATGAAACTTTAATCTCTGATCTAAGATATTAGCATATATTATAAGTATTTTGATTTTTAAGGAAGTGCGGGTAGAAAACCGTCGTGAGGACGAATCAGTGCTAATATACCTTTTCCGTTATAACCATCTTAATATTTAATATAAATGTCAAATAGCAAATGTTTTAAATAATGAGTTCGCATAACCGCCACACTGATTGTATTTCCACACACACTCTAATCTTGTTGAAATCTATGTTTTAATGACATACAAAAAGCTTTTACTATACTAAAAATAATCTGTACTTACTTATTTTGTCCTTCAGATAGTTGTTTAATAACAAGTGCCAATACCGAAAGTGACTTATTAATATGGGTGCCTTCCTTAAACCGAATTCCAGTGGCACCTGTCTGCCCAGCACGCTCTGACCCTGCGAGGTCAACTAAGTTTAACTGTGATATGTTCACTGACCCGACTTCCTCTTCATCTTCTGTATGTTCACGAGATTCTATTGTCTAAAATATTTATAGATATAATGATTAATATATTCTAATTTAATTATTAACAGTTGATGAGTTCGTAAGTGTATTGCAATTAAATGGCACCACGTAACATTAAATCAAGGTTTTGTTTCTGAAAATTAACATAAAATACAACTTTAAATATTACCAGATTACAAAAAATATATTTATGATAATTATATATTACACTTAATGCATGCATAAGAAGATATAATGTATAGTTTGATTACTTTAAGAAACAAATAAAGAAATACTTACAATTTGGAAAATTGAGTGAGATCTACTACTTTTGTCATTCATATTTGTTGATGCTGTTTGTCTATTTGCTTCACCCTTAAATTTTTAATAATTAATAAACTGGCAAATAAGAAGTGCTAGAAATTTTGCTATTGGTTCTTGGAACTTTCACATTTTTTCAGCAGAAATATAAATCAAACAAAACTTAGTCACATTATTTTTAAAAAAATAAAAAATTCTCATTAATAAAAATTACTTTAAATTTACCAAGTCTGAAGAGTAAACTAAGTAAAATCTTTCAGTTCAGGTACTACAGTCAAAATCTGTTATAACAACATAGAAGGAACCACTCATATTTGGTTGTAAAAACCGATAGTCGTAACAGCCGATGACGTTGTTATTAAGTACCTAATACAATGGAATTCAGCCAGAACCTTTGAGTTTGGTTAATATAACTGGTATGTTGTTCTAAACAGTTTTGACTGTAGTGATAACATTAATTTATTATACAAAATTAGGATATGAGATGTCATGTAAAATATTTATTTTTAAGACATATGTAGTGACAGTAAATCTACCTGCTTCATAAACTCTAACACTTCTCTTGGTGATGATGTCACTTTCTCAGTAGTATCAACTCTAACACCATTATGGGTATCACATATTTTAATATTTTTTGTTACATCAAGCAAATCTATTAGTGTTTCATTATATATTTCAACAAATGAGACTCTGAAAAATATATAAAAATAACTTATTATGTAGCAGTAATTATATTATAGTCATTATTTAGGAACCCAAATTCACAAAGTTTACTAGTTTCAACCACTTGGACCTGTAGCATAGTTTTACTGTAGAAGGAAGGATATATAGTATGAAGATTAAAGATTGTCAAGAGGTATAGAGACAAGTGGAAGAATTTAGAGGAGGAGGCCTTCACTCCGTCGGAGTGTAAGTGTTTACTAGTGTAAAACAGAATGACATGTACTTAGTGTAGTTGTGTTACAGTAGTCGAATAAAGGCTATTTTTTTATTATAATAATAAAGAAGATACTGTACCTTAGAAGAAAGTCTCTGTCTGGAATTTTCCTAATTAAATCAAACAAATTTAACACAGCCAGGTGTATAATACCAGGGGATTCATCAGTCCCGGTCATAGTATGTGTTTTGCCTGACGATGTCTGACCGTAAGCAAATATAGTGCCATTAATTCCTGCAATTGCCGCCTCCACAATCGGCTTAGCAATATCGTTGTACACTTCACTAGTTTTAGCATCCTTGTCGTAAACTTTGTCTAGAAATTACACAATTCTATTTATTCGTAACCTTCACTCTGACATAAACGGATATTTGTTTGCATTTTATATATTTACTCACCAAATGTGAAATTTTGACCACAATCTCTCCCATTTTGATCTATTTGATATAACGTAGTGTTTTTTACACGCCATTGATAAAAAAGTTTGTCTTCAATTTCTCGAGGAATGAGAGGTCGAACTTTTACTACTACTTTAATATTGTCACTCATTTTTAATGCTTACACTACAGCTTTTTCGATCATAATAATAATGTTCAGTTTCATTAATAAAGATTAAGTTTGGCTTACAGGAATTCTATTTAACATTTAACTAGATTTTTCTAAGTTTTTTACAACTCACAAAACAGCAACAATGCGCTATTCGATCGACATCATCCGATCTTCCATCTTCATTGGAAAAATAACCGTCAAATCACTCAAAAATTTAAACAAACTTTACAATTGACCTGTGATCTGTCATTCGCTCTCATTTCTGAATTCTAGTCTTCACTCTATACTCTTTACTTTGGCTTTCCCATTAGGGATAAATTAATACCATCATCATCTATACTCTAATAACTCTTTATGGGGCATCCACACGCTGGCTGTTTGTCACAAACACCGCAAAAAGCAAACGAAGTCCCAAACACCAACCACAATCACCCAACAAAAACAGCCATCCACATGCTTGGCAAACGTTCATAACATTCCGAATCGGCAAACATGGCGGACGACGAGCTTGTTGCAGCTATTACTTTCGGGTTGACATATTTTTATTATAAATTAAAGCAAGAGAAAGAAAAAAGGAAAAAAAGAAGAAAGCAAAGACGATGGTGGATGATTAAAATACATAGAAAGCGTACAAGGCTTTAGACCTATTATTTGAGCTTTACTTTGCCGTGTTTTTTTTAATTTTACTTAAAAGTTACTTAAAAATGTCAGAATCGTAGGTGCTCCAATCAGACATTTTTTACGCTTTGCGCGCCAACGAAAGTGTAGCAAGTAAATACGTGCGCCTCCCGCAAGCTCGCGCGCATACTGATCGCTGCCAAACGTGTGGATACGTAGCAAACTGTTTGCCAGACATCCTTTGATCTGGCAAGATAAACCGACACCGATGCCGAACACTGCCCAACACGAACACAAACAGGCAAACAACGACAAACACCCATCCACACGTCCGTGTTTGCTGTTTGCTGTTAGCTGTTTGCCATTGTTTGTCAAGCGATGGATGGGCTTTCATATATTTATCCGGAACAACTAGTTGAATAAAAAACAAGAACGATACTTTCGTTTTCGTTCTTGTTATTTATTGAAAACCGTATAAAAAATAAGTTTGGTCACCTAGCTCTGATTTATTTCAGGGACGGCCGGAAAAGGAACCCTGATAAAATAGTTAGCTTAAGCAAATTATTGAAAATTAAGATTTTATAATAATTTTGTTACAACTTTAGGTAAAAAATAATTAAGGGCTCCCACACAAAACTGCGAATTCGCATCGCATCGCAAATATCTGCGAATTCGCACGAACGCACCGCAAGAAGTTCCGATCTGCTTCGCATCGCACATTCTTGCGATATTACGTCATCCTTGGTGACGACTGACGCCAATTTAGTCCGCTCTGAGACAGCTTTGGAGAAAGACGCGCGGCGCCTCCGCCGCCTTCTTTGTTTATAAAAATAATATATGATATGAATTTTTTAATATTTTTAATTGAGGAGCGTCCCGTCCTTTGGGACACAAGTGATGAACATTTTTAAAAAATGCGTGGAAGAGCGTCTGTGAAAGCTTGCATCAGAGTTCATAATCGTAATAAATGGATGAACCCAGAATCTTCTTTTTCTTTTATATCTATTTAACAATAACAGCAGTGCAATAATCTTTTTGCGATCCATCTTACGCTTCCTAAAAACACGTCCAGTACGGCTGACTACGAAGGAATGGTCGCCCTACCAAATGGTTTGCCACACTAAATCGTATCGCAGAAATTCGCATCGCATCGCATCGCAGTTTTGTGTGGGAGTCCTAAGTCCAAAAATGTATCTTTTTATTTCGGATGTGACAATATCAAGATTTTACTTTTTACATAAGTATAAAATACAGTATAGAGTCAGCTAAAAATTTCGAAAGCATCGTGCCAGCTCTATCTAGCTACCATCATAATATATTTTATATTGGATTTTGTTTGTATTGACGAGTTTTTTTTTATTATTAAATGACATGAAAATTTAATGGCAAAGGACTTAAGTCCATACAGCAAAGTCTTGTTCTTGGTAATAATTGGAGAATTTTGGTAGTTTTAAAATTAAAAGGCCGAAGCCACGTCTTACGTAGTTCTCTATTTCATTCGTATTTATCTGACAATTGACAATGTTATGTTCAGTTGTTCAATAAAAATAAATCTTCATTCTCCACGTGAAAATGTGATAGTGATTTTAGAGTAATTTCATATAAAGTTACAAGTTATAAATATCAGTGCAATATGCAGCACGATGATGTAAGTATGCGTAACGAGGTTTCGTATAAATTCCATGATAAAATTTAATAACACATTTCTTTTATTTTAAGGTTGTTTGGGCTATTATCAACAAAACACATTGTTCACATAAAGTAACGTGAGTAACCACTAACCTATTGAATGTGAAAGTGAAAAGCAAAGACCTACGTTCAAATTCTTACTAAAATAATTTTTGTTATCTTAACAGCACAAAGACTCAACATTTTTGCCGGAATGAATATAACCTCACAGGTTTATGCAGTCGTTCGTCGTGCCCTCTCGCTAACAGTAAATATGCAACTATTAGAGAAGAAAATGGTATCATATATCTATATATGCGAACTGCAGAACGGTAATTCTGTCTTTAAGTGTTTAATTTACGAAATAATAGAATATAGAAAAAAGTAAACAATGGGGACATGATTATATTAACTATATATCAACGTTATAGTTGTGCGATATCTGTACCTGACTCTATCTAACTCAATTTTTTTTTCAACAAATAAATAAAACTATAATAATGTCTAGTTCATTTTATGGTAGTGAAATGCTTCAATATTATGTTTAAGATTCATGCTTTTGGCCTAAGTATGAATTGATATAAACAAAAATTGACACTCTGAGTAATAGTATAGTAATAGTTGGCGTTAAAGTTTCAATTTGTAAACTATTTATAGAATAAGGTATCAACTTAGGATTTAAAAATGTTAAAGGTTGTAAAATACTCTTTTTCAGATTAATGTTTCCTGCAAAACAATGGGAAACAGTAAAATTATCCAGAAACTTTGAAAAGGCTATACATCAAATTAATGAGAATTTACTTTATTGGCCTGCATTTATTAAATCAAAATGTAAACAAAGATTTTTGAAAATAACCCAGTATCTCATACGTATGAGAAAACTAAAACTTAGAAGAGTGTTTGTATTCTTGTTTTATACTATTGCTTTAGTTGGATACATTTGGCAAGGCAAATTGATGTTTTGTTTTTTATAGAAAAGAGCTGGTACCAATTCAGCGAAAGATAGAGAGGCGTGAAAGACGACGTGAAGAAAAAGCATTGGTAGCTGCCAGGATAGACAATGCTATTGAAAAACAATTGCTGGAAAGGTTGAAGAAGGGAACGGTGAGATAGATATTGAGTTGAAGATTTCTCGAATTAGAAATTATATAATATTATTTAATAAATTAGCTATTTATATTTGATGTTATGTATTTCAAAGTTAGTAAGTAAAAATAGTCTATCAAAACACTACATCTAAGATCATGTTGCTCTAATAGATATAAAACCTGCCACTTATACTTGATTGTAAAATTTGTCTTTTAGTACAATGACATCTATAACTTCCCACAAATGGCTTTTGATGCTGCACTGAAAGCAGAAGAAGTTTCTGGTGAAAGTGAAAGTGATAAATCAGATGATGAAGAAGAGGAGAGGGAGATTGAGCCAGAACTAGAGAATGAATTGGAGAGGAGCATGGATAAAGTGGATGAGTTTGTTGAAGCAGATAGTGATATGGAAAGCGATGAGGTAAGATCATTGTCATGTCAACAAGTCTTAGTAGCGTAGTAAAGTAGCTAACTTGAAACTGAAAGTTTATTATGTAAGGGGTGTTTATAAAAGAATACAAGTTAAAGATATTTTTTTCTAACCTTTATCAGGCTGGATTCAGGGTACTTGCTGGTTTTATTAGGATGCAAATGCCACTAAAAATATAGATAATATAGATTAAGGTACTTAAAAATTAAGGGCCATATTCTGGAAAGTCAGTCAAACTTAAGTCTAGTTTCAATACCTGATATACCATTTTTTCTGTATAAAATTGACATATTTGTCAACGCTCAAGACAATATTGTGACTTAAGACACATAAGAATATTGACATTCATTTTAAAGCCTAAGTTTTTAGTCTTTAGTAGATTATTATAATTATATGTGTCTAAAGAAGGGTACATTCCAGCTATGAATTAGTGCCTGATAAGCTTTATAATTAAATCATAATAAAATAGCTTTATCATCATCATCTTCAACCTCTTTATTTGCTTCATTTGTGGACGTAGGCCTCCTCCAATTTCCTCCAGTACACCCTGCACTGGCCTCTCTGCATCCATTGGGAGCCAACCTCCTTGCGGGGTATGTGGCCTGCCCACCGCCAATAAGATGTTGCGAGTTGCGACATCCCTTACTACGTAGCTTACGCTGGTCCTTTCACGAATCGCCTCATTTCCTACGCGATCGTGAAGGGAGATGCCAAGCATTGCACGCTCCATCGCCCGCTGCGCGACTTTCAGGTTTTCCGCCGTGCAATGTGTGAGCGTTATGGTTTCGGCTAGATAAGTAGTGGTTGAAGACCTTTCTTTTGATTGATAAAGAGAGGGGTCCTTGCATTATCGCTCCAAAAGCTCAATCAAATACCTAAGATAGATATGGTGGTCTACGATATCTACCGGTAGATGTTCAATAAAAAAAAAAAAATACGTTTATTCAATTTAGATGCGTCTTAAGGCATGCTTATGAATGTCAAAAACGTTTACAAAATTCGCGAAGAGCAAGACTACGCCATCCGTTCGTAAAACTACCAGTAGGCCTTGTTCTGAGAAGAACGGGCAAGAAACTCAGCAAGTTTTACTCTCCCTCTACATTACAATTATTCAAAGGAAAATGTCATAAACCACAACGTCATTAAAGTTACATAAGTAAAAAGTTTGTATTGTGTAGTGTAGTGTTGTTGTCCAGTTCCTTCGATGTGTGTCATAGCTTTAGTCTTGGAAGAGTTCACCTTTAGGCCCACTTTAACTGAAAATAGCTTAGGAAGCCATAAATTATTATTTTAATAAGTTTATGTTAAACTTTGATATTGATGGATTAGAGTTATATCATAAAACTGTCAAATTTAAACTAAATTTTCCAACCAATGCGGGTTTAGTTGCTGGGTTAATGAGTCAACATAAATTGTGTTGTAAATTAATTTTCTTGAATCTTAGAAACAACATTATTTTATTTATAATGCAATGTTATTACAAATATTTTATTATATTTTTACAGGATAGTGATTCGGGCAGAAAGGTGGGTGCAGAAGTTGGTAGTGATTTTGAGTCCGAAACGTCTGATATTGAGGTATGAACCAAGTATATGTTATTAGTAGCTAAAGATTTTTGGGACAAATTTTAAGTTTTATGCTGGTGTATTTCAATATTTGAGCATGTACAACTAATAATTGCCCTGTCTGAGTGTATTTTTATAATTTTTTGTGGAATGTTTGGTCAGCATTAAAATAAAATAAAATAAAAATAAAATAAAATAGCCTTTATTACTGTAAGTTTTAAAGTTAGTATATATAAATTAAAATTATAAAATATCCCTAATTACAGTGTGCCTTTCGGCAAAGGCCTCCTCCAATTCTTTCCACTGTGTTCTGTCCAAGGCGACTCTCCTCCAGTTTGGGCCTGCTGTCAGTTTTAGCTCGTCCTCCCATCGTCTGTATTGCCGTCCTCTACTTCTCTTGCCGTTACGTGGATACCAGTGTGTGACGATGTTGCTCCATTTGTTCTTTGAAGAAGAAGAAGAACGCATCAAGTGTCCTGTCCACCTCCATTTTTGTTGGTCTATTCTGATCAGTATGTCGGTTAGTTTTGTCCTACGCCGTATGTCGGTGTTTCGAATTTTATCTTTCCTCTTGATGCCGAGCATACTTCTTTCAACTGCATGCTGGAATGTTGACAGTTTTTTCCTGTGTAACTGTGTAAGGGACCAAGTCTCACATCCGTATGTAACACAGGGCAGTATACAGGTATTAAATACTTTTTTCTTTAGACCTATATTCATAGCCTTGCTCTTCATTATTTCTTTCATTGCCCAGTATTTTCTCCAGCCATTAGCAATTCTTTTGTGTATTTCTTTAGACATTTGGTCTTCGTGAGAGATTATTTGCCCTAAGTAAACATATTCTTCTACATACTCTAATATCTTTCCATTCACTTTGATTTCTGTCTTGATAGAGTTTGTCATCACCTTAGTTTTTTCTGTATTCATGGTTAGTCCAGCTTTGATACTTTCATTTGTAAGCATTTCAATCATAACCTGCAGTTTTTTTGGGTTTTCTTCAAAAAGAATCAGATCATCCGCAAAGCGAAGGTGGCTAAGTAATCTTCCATTAATATTTATACCGACTTGGTCAGCATTATCTACTGTTAAATTAATTAATTATGTTGCCAGAGGGAAATGTACTTTTCATACTTTTTCTAGAAACTTGTCAATCTACTATGGATTGCTTCATAGTGTAGCTGGCATTCTCAAAATGGTTTGCTTGTCCCAAATAATACCTGAATAATAATTTCCTGTCGAAAAATTAAAAAGAATTAAGACTCAGAACACAACATTCTAACATTCAACATTCTTGTTTATTCTAAGAGTAAACAAGTCAAGTAGATTTGAAAAAATAAGTATTATAAGTACTGTTTTGCATAAATGAATGTTTGGAGATGGTGGTTAATACTTAAATGTTAGGATTAACATAATAAATGTTTGGTTTCAGGACATATCCGAGAAGTTGTCCACTAGAAAGAAGCCTCGTGTTGAAATAGAATATGAAACCGAACCGTCAGTTAGTATTAATAAGAGGAAAATAAAACAATGATTTATTAATAAATTGTTCTTTTTTTATTCACCAAGATTATTATTTTAAACTTTTGTAAGTCATTTACATTGATATTGACCTACTGATGGTAGAATAATATAGAACTTTAATATCAGGGTTTTCTATAAAACATGTTTTAATGAATCTCTGTTTTGACATCCTTGGACATCTGGCCTTAGTTTACTTCGAAAGGCGCGTGTCGATAGATGTAAGAGTTAAACAATTATTAAATCTAAAAATAAGTGTTGATAAATAGTGAAACTGTATTAACGTTAAACAACGTCCAGTGTGTCCGTTAAACACGTGTGGGGTAGACTTTAATGTAGTTTAATTTAACCTTAAGACGACACAAGTTTGCGAGTTTCAGCTAAAAAAACTCGTTGGCGAAAACCCTCTTCGAATGCACTCTCCTTAAAGCTTCAGCTAGAATTGAAATACTGGGCGTTGACAAATTAAATGACGATAGATTTCGCGGTTATTTGGAAGGGAAGGCAAAATTTCATTGGAAAGCTTTGTGAGCTAAACAAGGTGAGTCTGTACTTCCATCCGACGCTAGCAACTCTATAAAGGGCGAATTCGGCTCCACATGGAGTAGTGTTCTCAGCCCTGGACGGGAATTTCCCAGTACCAGCTTCTTCCACTTGACCGTATTCAACGAAGAGCGATTTGAATCGTCGACGACCAGTCACTTTCCGAGAGTCCCTTGGCGTTGCGAAGAGATGTGAGGTCTCTTTCTGCATCTTCTACCGCATTTACCATGGAGAATGATAAAAGTAGTAATGAGCTGAATACGAAATTCCACCGGCCGTCCTTACACAACTGAGCGTTTTTAAGGCAGTTTTTGCCGCGTACCACCACTATGTGGAACCAGCTGCCCACTGAAGTATTTCCGAACCAATTCCACTTAGGGTCCTTCAAGAAAATAGCGTACCAATTCTTTAATGGCGAGCAACGCTCTTGCGAGCCTTTTGGCAATATAAGTGTGGCCGGCGGACTCTTAACATCAGGTGAGCTTCCTGCCCTGTTATATATATGTAATGGAATGATATTTCATTAATTTGAATTTGACGCGTCGGAGTGACACGCGATAAAATGGCGGATGACGTGTAAATTAATTTAGTGGATTATAGTGTAAAAAGATAGATAAGTGGACATTAAATGTCGTTTTATAAGGAATATTATTATGGATTTTTTCTAAATGAAAACACAAAATTGTTTCTCTGAAATACAAAGAAACGACATTTAATGTCCACTTATCTATCTTTTTACACTATAATCCACTAAATTAATTTACACGTCATCCGCCATTTTATCGCGTGTCACTCCGACGCGTCAAATTCAAATTAATGAAATATCATTCCATTACATATATATAAAAAAAAACCTGTGATCAACCAAAAGTACTGCTAAAACAAAAATAATAATCGTACAGAAAGCCGTTATAATTACAATCAACATCAAACATCTCAATTTTTATAGTCTGGATTGCTTTCGTTTCATAACGCGGCTTAATTCTTGTCTAATATTTAGGAGCATAGACAAGATGCCCAAAATCCAACATTTTATAAAAAAGACCTGACGCCAATGTATATTTTTACGCTTTATTTATCGAAAGGAAATGAATAATATCTTCCACTGCTTATATTAATGAGGTAGTTGATTTATTGTGTTACTACAACATTTTTATTTTATTGCGTTAATAATGCTCATCTGTTAATTAAGAAAGCTCTCAGTTATATCTGTTTCTATCTTGAACTATAATGTTGTTAAAATATGTATTATCTACAGAAAATATCTTTATTCGCGTTTTTACTATTCGCGGATTAAAATGCATCGTAAACATAAAAGAATCAAAACAGGAAAAAACTATGGCCTGCTCTGAGTGCGGAAAATGACGAATAATCTGTGAAAATTCTAACTTTTACTGCAATACTCGAAACTGCGAATTAATTAGGACGATATGGGTTGCAATAGATTCAAGACAAGATGCGAGTGACATTTAGGATCGCATTTTCAATCGCAAGATAAAGTAACTGAAGCCAACTTGGAGGAAATGTTTAATTCACAGCCCATTATAGAAGAGCATTTAAGAAGCACTGGAAACGTGACATTTAATTTGAAAAATCTTAGTGAAGGTTTAATAATGCCTAATGAGCTTTGTGATTTTTTCATGAAAATTGATTCGTCTATGGAACGAAATCTTATTTTTAGGAGGCAAATAGCGAATGCCACTGCTGAATATAAGTCTGAATTGAAGGAACCTTTAAAAACAGCCAAGCAAAAAAAATATAAAATTCTTTAAACCATTGCTTAAGCCCGGATTGGATTATTAATATTGTCAAAAACTTCAATTAAATTAATTTTCATAAATGTGTGTTTTATATTGTCACCTAGGAACCATCCCATATAAATTATCACTCTATACTCAAGGTTTCTGTATTCGCGACATATTTACGGAATATATACGCGCGGTATATGTTATGAATAAGAAGATTTCACTGTACTTAAAATCCATAGGTATATACTTTTTGTTACTTAATGCCAAAAGATTCATTATTATTTATGAAATTTCAAAGGATCGTTTACATGTTTACTAGATCTTAAACCATCGTTTATCTCAATGCAACTTAAAGCTCAGTTAGCTCTGAAAATTGCAAGCAGTACTTAACCACAACAGCGTAGATGCCAGTATAGATACAGAGATTGGCTCGCTTTCTAATTGTTTGTCCCAAATGTGTGGCGACGTGAAACCAAGTATTGGATTGAGGTTGCATCTCCGTTAATTATGTAGTTAGGTTCGGTCGCGTTAGCTCACCCGGGTATCACGGGCAACTTGCATGAACAAACTAAGTATCTAAGCGAATTGGCGTATGCTATCTTCAAGTTAAATTAGCATTAGTGTCGGACCAAAATATTATTTTATTATAAATCACTTCCAAAGGGAGGAATTACGAGTAGTTTTTACATTCTATCTAAATATGCTATAGCATATTTATGCCTGCTAGGTATACCTCTATTCTATTCTCACTTCGAACGGACCATACTTTGCCCCACACTAATAAAGTCATAACAAAATTGATTTTAAGGTTTAACGTATAGACTAACGTGTTTAATGGCCACGATTCCTAATATTAAGTCTAACCCAACTACGACTACCATACTTGTTGGCTGCTACTAAGCCACTCGACATATTTAAGGCCTTTTTTCCTTCCATAGGTATTAAGGTTTTAGATGAAACTAAAAAACAAAAAAAAAATTGAGTTATAAAATTTCCCTCAGATTTCTTTTGTTTTTCAATTAGGCTCTAAGTGTTGCCGTCTTTTCCGATACATAGGTTATTTCGACCTTTGTCGTTGCCGTATTTTATAGGACTACATACATGTTTCAAAGTAAGTAAATCTTTAACAAAATTTGTTTTGAATTTTCACCCGTTTTATGTAGTAAACCTCAGTTAAAACGTTTCAGGAGCAAGTATATTTTCAGGCAGTGCCTTTTTTGTAAACCACACGCAGATGTGTTTTAAATCCTCGCATTTGTTTGCAAAAGTCGAATATAAACCACTCCGAATTGAAGCCTAGTTCTCAAGGGAAGCATAAAAAGAATTTAAAATGGTGTTCAGTTGGTGTAATGTATATAATGTAAGAATAGAAAAGTATTAGTTTTCCAGAATATGGCACTCCCACAACACACGTTTTTGTATCAAAACAGTTTTTTCTCTTAATATGTCTTTGATTGCTTAAACATAGACTTCAAGAGAGAGAGAGAGAGAGACTACCTATTTATTATAACTTTTCTTCTTTGAAAAGGTAGGTACATCCCGGATATCTTGGTTAACTGGTGCTGATGGAATGGAAACCTGATGACGTGGACGGAACTCCTTGGCAATCCTTACTATAATGAACCTTACGCTATTACCATGTAGCAATATGTTATTTTTTTACTATTTGAAGCCAGTTATAAACGAATTTTTGTATATTATTATTGGCATAGAGCTATTGGTTGACCTTAACCTAATGACCCTTAGCGGTGATGTTCAAAGATAAATAATTGTAATATTCAAACTCAAAAATTCTATTCCCAGCTCTGAATGAGAATTTAGAACTGAATAATCGCGCCTAAGGATATTTTGTGAATAAATATTTGATTGGGCATTCAACATTAATTAAATGAATTTACTTTCATTCAAAGTTATTAATTATTGTGGTTTTTCGGCAGAATACTAATTAATCATTTGGTCAGATTTTGAATTGCCTTTAATTTACTCAATTAGTGAGTGTATGAGAATAATTATTAATTCTTATTGAATTTGAATACCTACTAAGTTTTTTTCTTATAAAAAGAATCCAATGGCGCTACAACTCTAAATGGGTATTGACCTGAGATTGCATTCTTTTGTTTGATCATTTTTATTTCATAGACAAGTATGTGATACTCTTTCTGACATGTCTTAGATTTTTGAATTCGAGATATGCCAGTTTCAATACGATGTTTTCCTTCACCATACGGAGTGGAATGCGCGCATAGACGGGCTGATATCAAACCTACGACCTCAGGTATAACAGTCGCACTCGGAAGCCATTATTTATTCATTTATTTATTTACACTTTGTTGCTTTATGATATAAAAATTTAACAAAATTACAAGTAAAGGAAAGGCAACTGGCGGCCTTATCGCTTTCGAGCGATCTCTTCCAGGCAACCACTGTGAGAAAAGAAAAAAAAAAGAAAATGTATTAAATTACATGAGGTAGGCAAAAAGTGCAAAGATACATGTATTACATATACTTGTAAAGAAAAAGAAACTAAACAGGAACGAAAAAAAAAACAAACTAAACTAATAAAGGATACATAAAAAAAAAATTATACTAATAATAATAAAAAGTACACATGAATCATTTTTATTTAATTTAAGATCAGTCTCACGTCGGTTAGTTAATTAGGCCAACACTGTTTTTGTAATATTATAATATAAAAATAAATTGAGTTATATGGAACTAATAA